AAAAAGTGCTGGGAAACGAGTCCTGTCTCCCTCCACATCTCAGTGTTTGTCTGTCTGCTGCCTGCAGGCTTCTCCTCATCGTTTGTTTGCTGGCATGTTTGACTTGACCTGGCTGATATGAGGTGAACGTCACTGCTGTCTCTGTGCGGCCATTTTGTTTTGATAACACATTGATTTCTTCTGCTGAACTTTGCACCTGAGATTCATTCAGGTTCAAGGCTTGCCTGAAAACATGTCAACATTCCACACTTCATTACTACAACACTGATGAAAATCTGATTCAGGTTTATTTATTTCTAATAGTTTCTCACATCTAATAATTTGTCCTGGTATTTTGGTACATAACAATAACCTAAAACAAAGTCATGTGTAATTCCATTATTCCATGAAGAGTACAATCCGATATACTGTACGTGTTATCTCAGCCAGTAACCTGTTGTTTTAGAAGTTTAATCAATGGATGAAATGTACATTGAGTTCTGGCTGGTGTTAAAGGGAGAGTGGGGTACAGTTTGTGACATCATTCAGCTGCATTATTCTCTGCAGTATAACCATTTATATTTGTAACGCTAGTCAGTAATGCTGTTAGATTAGAGCTGCATTTAGGATTATACATCGGCCGATTGATCGGTCTTTCACTACAATAAACATAGTGAGAGAAATGAAAAGAAAAAAACAAGTACTGTAAAAGTCAAGTCATAATATACATTTACAGTAAGAAATATGAGAAGTGTATTTAAAAAATATGTCAAATGTATCTGTAGCTTTTAAATTTAAAACACATCTTTTTAAACTGGCACCACGTGACCACTATTTATTAGGTCACAGCGATCTTTGTTTACAGTTGTTATGTACCCTGATTTTATGCACTGTAATTATAGTTGTTAATTTTATAAATTTATTGCTGTACTGTTTTATGTTTTGTGAGGTGACCTTGTGTGTTCAGAGAGGCGCCTATAAATAAAATTTATTATTATTATTATTAAAACAAACAGGATGGAACATCTAGAAATATTGAGAAAGGAATGTTCACAATATAGAGTATGTGCAAAATGATAATCCCGAAATGTGCGTTCACAGTGGATCATCCTGAAAAAGGAAAATAATTAAGAAATACAGTTTTGTTTTTGTTTTGTCTGTGCACCCACAGTGTCCCACGGCTGCTGAAGAAAGTTGGCCACCCGAGGATGCGTGCAGTCGCCCTCACCCCGATAGGAGGGGCGGTTGCCGAGGCCCAGGAGGCTTTTCCCACCTGCAGACGGAGGTGTGGAGTTGGGGCCGTTGCGAGCACGGACAGCTGGGACATGGAGACACTCTGGACAGGTAGGAGGAAGGTTCGCTGCACTGCATCTGTCAGTGACTCTGTTTCTGCACTGCGCAAAGAATAAAATTCACAAAACAATAACAGCACAACAGAAATGAGAGCATGAGACCAAGGAAGGGCCTGAGACTACATTCATTCAAACTGTAATATGCATAATTGTGTAGTCCTTGAATACGACCTACAGAAAGGTTTTTGCTTATTTCAGGCCAATACAGGAATAATTGTCTTAGAACTTCATTGACGTTTTTGCATACAAGCATAAAAGCAGTTAAATGTAATGAAGTGTTGTTTTAAATTATAAGATAATTTTAGGTAAACTATCCAAATTATTTAATTAGGACATTTTTAACTTTTCAAAGCCGTCATAATCTCAGGTCACATAAGTGGCTACAGTTCAAAGTGCCTGCTATCAGAACAGAAGCTGGAAAGCTAAGCCTGTTCTGTTATGGCCCTTGGTCTTGGAATGATGTGCAGACCAAGCTCAAACTTCAATCCCTCATCTCTCTAAATGATTTTAAACACAGAATAAAGGAGGTGGTCACCGCTAACTGCAGCTTCTTTGCCAATTCCATTACCACTTAACTCTTTATTAAATCTATGATCTAATACTGTTGTTTTTGTGAACAGTACTATGTAGGGTATTATGTAATATCTAAATGTTGTGTTGTTGTGCTGTGTTTTCTGTTGTACCTAATGATGTTGTTGTGATTGGTTCTTATTGTTGCTTGGTTATCTGTTTGATCCTGCTATCTGACCCTGTATTGAGTAGGTCTCACTTGTAAAAGAGGTTTTAAAGGTTATAAAGATATACACAAGCTGTTGTGGGCCACTAAAATATGTTAATCATCTATGACAGTGGTGTGATGTGTCTTTTTGCAGATTACAGCCGCTGTGCATCAAGAGTCTGAACAATAAGGAGGTGGTGCTGGTGGCGGCCGGCGCTCATCATTCCCTCGCTCTGACTGCTCAGTCTCAGGTCAGTCAGAGGCTTCAGTCCTTTTACCAGCTACACAGCATTACCACCACAGTATTTTACACTCCAGAAACAATTGTTTCCAACCAGTTTTCCTTTTCCATTTCTATCCTTGTGTTTATTTGGCCAAATGTAGACTTCACTGTGGAGTTTGATGACATAAAAAAGGGCCTCTGTCTTCCAGGTGTTTTCATGGGGAAGTAACAGCTCTGGTCAGCTTGGACACATGGAGTCACCCAGCACCGTCCCCCGCCTTGCAAAGGTGAGGAGACCACCTCCTTTACAAACACACAGGTACAGGAAGCCCTGAAGTTCAATAACTCCTGTTCCTGTAGGGTGACTGTGGCTCAGGGGGTAGAGCGGGTTGCCCGTTAATCGGAATGTCGGTGGTTCAATCCCCGGCTCCTCCAGGCTGCATGTTGAAGTGTTCTACCAGTGTGTGAGTTAGTTTCTGTTTGAGCACTTAGGCTCAGTGTATCTTTACATTTACATGTTCCTCTCTGCTTCCCCTTGCAGCTATCGGAGGGGATCCGGGTCTGGGATGTAAGTGCCGGAGAGAGACACACCCTCCTGCTCGCAGACGGAGACTGCATCCAGCCCATCATTTATTACAGCGGACAGCAGGTGAAAGAGGGGGCAGAAGAGAGCCAGCTGGGTCAGCAGGAGGAAGAGGAGCAGTGGGCTGGCGGCTACACCCAGCAGCCTGTACTACTGCCCTTCTGCATGAACGTAAGGACAAAGTAACTGGTAGTTTGTTTGCAGGATCTTAGACTACTGCTGAATCAAAGTACAGTTAAGTAAACACATTGTCCTGCATGAAGTGTATAGAAACCAACAGTAGTCTAAAACACAGTATTTCTTTATGTGATTTTGTACAACACAGTCGTGTATCATGATTCAATGAGTTGTGTATTGATTGGCATTATGATTATTATTATTATTATTATTATTATTATTATTATGATGGGTTTCAGTACCATGTTGTTCAGCCAAAACGATTCTGTCTGACTGGTAAGGAAACTCAGCTATTTAACCTCTGTGGGATCATTAGCTAGGTTCGTCAATACCACTGGTCCGTTAGTGCTCCTAGCTGTGGTAACGACAGTCATCATGGTCGTTAGAACCACCCGTGGCCAAGTCTGAACGACCATCGTTGGTATCTTCACCTGAGGCCAAGTGGAAATGCTTGTTCAGTTTCCTGGGAAGTTTTGAAACAAAAATTCATTCGAAATTTAATTCAGAACTGAAGAAGTCTCTTGGATGAGGGATGAAACGTCTTCTAGTTTTTTTTGGATTGGATAATAATTAATAATAACATTTAACAGTCATACAAGTAGTTACCTTTCTGAAGTAGCTTTGACCCAACAGACTAATGCCTTGATAATAACTCAGTGAACAGGTAACACGAGATAAGAGGTCTTATTATATAATTACAGCATCAGAGAGGGATTAAAATCAAAGGAAATGTAATAAATGTACGGTATCTAAAGATCATTTAAAGTTCTAATAGCTTAAACTATAATAAAAGTGTGTGATGGCAGTTTTTTGTGATTCCCATGTGTTGCAGCTGCGTTATGTGAGCAGTGTGTTTGCGGGGGGACAGCGGTGCGTGGCGCTCTCGGACCAGAACGTGATGGGCTTCATCGCCAGCCTCCATGAGCTGGCGTCAGCCGAGAGAAAGTTCTACTGCAAGCTTTGTAACGTCAAGACACAGATCATACGCCCCCTGCTGGAGCTGGGTGAGTGGCCCATCAGGAAAAAAGGAGGAAAAGAGAGAATTCCCAGATTTGAACACAGGAGGCAAATCTTTTAAATCAGCACAATTTTTATCGTTTGTTTCCATTTTTGTGCCGTCTTTCTCCAGAGTCTCTGAATTCGGCCCTCAGCCCAGTGGCCCTCGGTCTCCTGCAGACTCTGGCAGGCCAATTCAGTCTCTTGTGTCATCTAACTGGGCAGCACGCCGCCAGCCTCACCGCAAACCTGCGCCGCGGCCGCAATGTCAAGAGCCTGCTCATCCTCGACTATGCCAGCATCTTCCTCGACTCTCACCATGAGTATGTGTTCCCCATCATGAATTTGAATATTTGTACACTTCATTTTAAACAATAGATTGAACTTTGAACACTTGTTTCTTTGTCAACGCCAAGGTACTGCAGCGCTGTGGGCAACTTCCATGTAATGGGAGGTTTCCAGACCCTGATCAAACCCTCTCTGTGAGCACACACAGACACACTTTTTCACACTTTCCTAAAAATCCAGCAATATTTCAATGCAACAGCCAAAAACACAAGAGAACAGTACTCTAAATGTGATAAATGTAGCTGATAAACAACTAGATAATTTTCTTTGAAGAGATTTCTTTGGGAAGAGTGCTGAGCTGCTTCAGAAGCTGTCTGAGTGCAGCGAGGAGAACCTTACCATGGCGGACCTCCTGGTGGCACTCTTCTATCTCCCAACTCCCCACCTTCATGAATACAGCCGGTTGCTGCTCAAACTGGCCACCTGCTTTGAAGTGGTAGGTGAAACAAGCACTAGTCAAGACAATGATTTTTATGTTTTTTTTAATTTACTGACCGCAGGCAGCACACACACACACACACCTCGCTTCCTTCCAATTTATTAAGAAAAAATGTGAAAAAGTCAAAAGAAAAAAATCATTGTGGAAAAGTAAATTTTCTTCCGTAATTTAATTCAAAAAGTATTCACCACTGACAGAAGATGGATGAATGATTTTGGTATTTGTATTTTTTGTTTTTCAGTTTTTCCCCTAGGATTTTTTTCAGGGGGGGATAGTAGTGTTTCTGAATTCTGTGTTTTACAATTTAAGCACATTTTGTCTTCAGAGTGTAATCATGTGGTAGATGAATACAGTTTTAACAATTCAATAAGAAAATATTAGAAATTGAATCAACATCAGGCTCCCCCTCAAAACAATGGTTTTTAGATTATTAAAAAGAGCAAAATATTTTTTTAAAAATTGGGTGTAGTTTATTTTGATTGTTTTATTGTTTTTGCTGAAATTCAACTTAAAAAGCAATATTAACTTAACCCTAAAACCTTCCTAAAAAGTGAATTAAGATATGTTTAAAACACCTCAAATGTTTAGGGTTTCACGTTATTTCTATTGGAAAAATCAACAGAATCGGAACCTACCCTATAGAAAATCACAATTTATGTCACTGTAAATATATATAACCTTGTGTGTGCTTGTGTATGTGTTGCCAGTGCTCCAATGAGTACCAGAGGCTGCAGGACAGCTGCTCAAAGTTCGAAGCGTTGGCCCTCCAGCTGAAGAGAAAAAGGAAGGACGCCAACTACACCTTTCATTTCTGGAAGAGCTTCCCTGGCAAAATGACGGTAAACTCGCTGAGTGTGCGCATTCCTTTTCATTACCACCAAGCGTATCCTTCACATTGAGACCTGGAGGTGTCACATTTTGCTGAATGGTGTCATTGTGTGTTGTCAGGACTCGCTGAGGAAGCCTCACCGCCGGCTGATCTGCGAGAGCAGTAACAAAGCTCTGACCCTGCAGAACGCCGGGAGGTTTTCCGTCAACTGGTTCATCCTTTTCAACGACGCTTTGGTCCATGCCCAGGTCAGCTACACACACACACACACACACACACACACACACACACACACACACACACACTTTTCATTACGTCCTTCAACTCTTTCACTTTTTTGAAGCCGTCTATATTTCAGACAGTGTAACTTGGTCTGTTTCAAGCGTTTGTGTGTGCTTACCTCCGTGTTGTCAGGGCTTGTAAAAATCTTGTAAGTATGCAGCCAGAAGCAAATGTTAGCACAGCGACCCCGTACTCTCCCCTGTCCCACTCTTTCTTTTCGTGTGTGTGTGTGTGAGAAGGGCTTAGGGCTCTGTGTCATGGGATTCAGCCCTGTTGGAGCGGATTCACATTTAAACACATGACAAACACACACCCGGATAAAACAGGTGAAGGCACCAATGCTAATACAAATATCTGTTTATTTATTATTTATTTATCTAGGGTTCAGCAATATAGAGAAAATCCAATTACTTCCTTTTTACTTTCTTCTTCTGTACTTCCTCTCTCTTTAATTCCTTTCTTTCTTTATGTCCTACTTTACTTCCTTTCTTTACATAATTTTTTACATCCTTTCTTTCTTTACGTCCTTCCATCCTCTATCCCCAAAGGTTTACATTTATATTACATACATACACCATAACATTTATAATTAGAATTTCTTTGACACTTTTTGGAAATCACTTGTCTGTTATTAGCTTATCCAACAAATTAAATACCTGACAAATCAAGGTGCTTAATCGCATTGATGCTAAAATAATAATCAAACCAGGAACAAATGTTAAAGGATAGGTTCAAATTTACACCTGAAAACAAGGCTCACATGCTACATGTATGTTTAGAAAGATTCGCTGTAATTATTCTTTCTTTTAATTCTGGCCATGAAACGTGACTACACTGTAAGAAATTAAGAAATTAAATCCACAGTTTTTGTTCCATGCAAAACTGCATTTCAAATTTCATTCAAAGCTAAAATGAGGCACAAAACAAGGACTGCATTTTTTAAAAATTTGCTCATAAGTATAGGTGTGCATTACTACTTTACTATGTGATGTACTACCAGTGATACCCAGCCCTATCCCCACCTTCACCCTCTGCCTGCTCGCCACCTGAAGGAGACTGCATGGAAAGATGAACTGACTCGAACCAAGGCTCAATGGCTCATTTTACATACTATACTATATCACTGTTCTTGTTCTTCCTTTTCCCGCAATTCAACATTTAAAACCAATTCAGCTTGAAATACAAAACACAAAAACAAATGTTATGTTCTTCTTAAGAGTACTTTTTTTCCTGTCGGTGCCTTGGTTTTTACTGTTGGTTCACTTGTAATTTAACGACAGGCGTAGGATTTGAAAGGCAATCACTTTAGCAGAGGAGCCTATTTTATCCTTTCAAATTACAGTACCAACAGTTTCTGGTTCACTTCTCCAAAGCAATTTCCTTTCCTCTCTCCCGCTTTGTCTCCTCCTTCTTCTGTCCATCCCTCCCCATCTCTTCTAGTCTGCATCGGTCCTGTGGTTGTCCTGCACATTTAAGTCCCTCTGCTTCCTGACTGTGTGACGTTCTGTCATTATTTGAAAAAAACAAAACAACTTCTTTACTTTTCATCCTTATTTCCTTTTTTACTTCCCTTATACTTCCTTCTATCTTTACTTCTCTTTTACTTCCTTAATTCCGCCTGGACCTTTGGGTGAAAAAGAGTATGCATGCTTAGTTCTTAACTTCCTCTTGAGTCTAGCTCTAATAACCTTTTCACTTCCTTTCTACTTTACTTCCTTCTTCACTGTCTTACTTCCTCTTTACTTCCATACTCCCTTCTTTACTTCTTTATTCTTACTTCGTAATTTACTCCCGTTTCACTTCCCTACTTCCTTCTGTACTTCCGATTTACTTTATTTCATTTTTTTTTTTGCATGAATAATGAGCAGGGTATTGGTAATAAAGAGTATACATGCTTAGTTCCTACCTCTTTAAGGTACACATGTTGTCTTGCATGATTAATCTGGCCCCCCTTAGATTAATCTTTGCAAAGTCTGCATCAACGTTCCTTCCTTTTTACTTATTTGCTACCTTTTGAATTCCCTTCTTTTTTCTGTCTTTACTTCCTTTATGCTTCCTTTTTTACGTCACTTCCTCTCTTTAGTTCCATTTGACTTCTCTTTTACTTCCTTTTTACAGCTGTTATATTATTAGTGGAAGTTGTCTGAAATGTAAACAATAAACAAACTAAACTGGAGCAGGAAGGAAAGTATGCTGCTGGTAGAAGGAGGTATATTATCTGCAACTCCATGCGTGAGTCTCTCCACAAAGAAGCAATTAATGATTATTAAAAGGCATTAGTTTTTCTTTGTCAGTGTCCTGCTTGAATTGTTGCACTTAAAAAATCAAAGCATTTTTTCCTGTTAATTATGAGATTATAGAGAAACACCTCCTGTTTGTGTGTAAGGCTCATACACACCTTATGGGCTTACTCATAGCAATTAGGATTGTGTCACTGTCTCTCAGTGTGGTCAGATGTGTTAATAAGATTAATGATGTGTCCTGTTTCTTTCCATTTCTAAACACTTACCTTTCCTTTCTTTCTTCTCTCCTCTTTCCTCACCTTTTCCTTAATTACCCTTTCCTCTCCCCCTGCTTCCTTTCCATCCTCCATGCTTGTTCCTCTCCTCCAGTTCTCCACACATCACATCTTCCCTTTGGCCACACTTTGGGTGGAGCCAATCCCAGAGGAGAACACTGGCCTGTAAGTCTGCTCCCAGTGGAACATTTTTACAGCTTTTCTGTGGAGGAATACTCAAAAATAACATAATTCAACATAATTTCCAGATCTTTTTATTTTGTTGTGTTTAGTCAATTTAAATAGTTACAGTGGGTACGGAAAGTATTCAGACCCCTTTAAATTTTTCACTCTTTGTTTCATTGCAGCCATTTTCCAAAAATCAAAAAAGTTCATTTTATTTCTCAGTAATGTACACTCAGCACCCCATCTTGACAGAAAAAAACAGAAATGTAGAAATTTTTGCAAATTTATTAAAAAAGAAAAACTGAAATATCACATGGTCATAAGTATTCAGACCCTTTGCCGTGACACTCATATTTAACTCAGGTGCTGTCTATTTCTTCTGATCATCCTTGAGATGGTCCTACACCTTCATTTGAGTCCAGCTGTGTTTGATTATACTGATTGGACTTGATTAGGAAAGCCACACACCTGTCTATATAAGACCTTACAGCTCACAGTGCGTGTCAGAGCAAATGAGAATCATGAGGTCAAAGGAACTGCCTGAAGAGCTCAGAGACAGAATTGTGGCAAGGCACAGATCTGGCCAAGGTTACAAAAAAATTTCTGCTGCACTTAAGGTTCCTAAGAGCACAGTGGCCTCCATAATCCTCAAATGGAAGACGTTTGGGACGACCAGAACCCTTCCTAGAGCTGGCCGTCCGGCCAAACTGAGCTATCGGGGGAGAAGAGCCTTGGTGAGAGAGGTAAAGAAGAACCCAAAGGTCACTGTGGCTGAGCTCCAGAGATGCAGTCGGGAGATGGGAGAAAGTTGTAGTAAGTCAACCATCACTGTAGCAATCCACCAGTCGGGGCTTTATGGCAGAGTGGCCCGACGGAAGCCTCTCCTCAGTGCAAGACACATGAAAGCCTGCATGGAGTTTGCTAAAAAACACCTGAAGGACTCCAAGATGGTGATAAATAAGATCCTCTGGTCTGATGAGACCAAGATAGAACTTTTTGGCCTTAATTCTAAGCGGTATGTGTGGAGAACACCAGGCACTGCTCATCACCTGTCCAATACAGTCTCAACAGTGAAGCATGGTGGTGGCAGCATCATGCTGTGGGGGTGTTTTTCAGCTGCAGGGACAGGACGACTGGTTGCAATCGAGGGAAAGATGAATGCGGCCAAGTACAGGGATATCCTGGACGAAAACCTTTTCCAGAGTGCTCTGGACCTCAGACTGGGCCGAAGGTTTACCTTCCAACAAGACAATGACCCTAAGCACACCGCTAAAATAACGAAGGAGTGGCTTCACAACAACTCCGTGGCTGTTCTTGAATGGCCCAGCCAGAGCCCTGACTTAAACCCAATTGAGCATCTCTGGAGAGACCTGAAAATGGCTGTCCACCAACGTTTACCATCCAACCTGACAGAACTGGAGAGGATCTGCAAGGAGGGATGGCAGAGGATACCCAAATCCAGATGTGAAAAACTTGTTGCATCTTTCCCAAAACGACTCATGGCTGTATTAGATCAAAAGGGTGCTTCTACTAAATACTGAGCAAAGGGTCTGAATACTTATGACCATGTGATATTTCAGTTTTTCTTTTTAATAAATTTGCAAAAATTTCTACATTTCTGTTTTTTTCTGTCAAGATGGGGTGCTGAGTGTACATTACTGAGAAATAAAATGAACTTTTTTGATTTTTGGGAAATGGCTGCAATGAAACAAAGAGTGAAAAATTTAAAGGGGTCTGAATACTTTCCGTACCCACTGTATATGTGTGTGTGTGTGTGTGTGTGTAGATATGGGTTAAAGGTCATTGCACCAGAGGAGACATTCACCCTTCTGGCATCCTCTCCCATGGAGAAGGTACGTGTTTTATGCTGCTGCTACTTATCACACGTTATTACACTAGTCTCTGTGTGTGCTGCAATCTGCTCATCATCCACGCACACACCATATTCCCCTAAAAACATATATGTCAAACCAGATCAAATAATTGTATAAATTCCGTTAAAGACAACAACCTACCATAACCCCCACGCTAATTGTTCAAAATATAGTTGGACTAGCCACCTGAGCACCAAGAAAGATGCCCGTGGGCCTGTCGCTCTATGACGGAGACAGAGGTACGTTGTTGGCAGTTGAAGCGGTGAATCATTTAGCTTTAGCCATTTAACGTTAGCTGTATTGTTGCCTTTGTTGTTCAACACGATCAACTTTTCATAAAGCCAATGTGCTTGTCAGTGTCCGTTGTCTTCAACTGACCAATTACAGCCTGGATGGGGCAGGACATTAAAAAAAGTTTAGCCAGAGCCAGGATGCCATTGTGCCAATTTGAGCTGCTTCTAGCCATCGCCTCACGCGCCCCTTATTCGGTTTTACTAAAGTTATTGTTATCAATATTGTTCAGTAATCTTGTTCAACTAAAGTGTGTGTGTGTGTGTGGGTTGTGTGGGTGCGGCGGGTGTATTGTGTATCTGTCCCTGGTTCAAAAACTACAAGTTCCACAAGCCGCAATGCACCAATCACAGTAGAGTTTTCTATGATGAGTGTTTTAAAAAGCTGTTTACAATGTGGCAAAATCAGTAATTTTGGACTGGTGACAGAAATGCTTATGCTTGTTTAACTTTTTTTCACGTTGAGACAAACACATTTAAAAATGTCCGTATTTTGTGCATTTTCCTTGATACTCAAGAAAGTAGACTCATGGTACCATTTGTTCCATTATATCTCAAATTGCAGTATTGTCCACAAAAATCGCAATATGAGTTTTTGTCCAAATCGTGCAGCCCTAATTACCTTAAAACTACATTTCCATTTGTTGCCACTCAAAAGAACTGCACCTCTGTGACATTTCCCTCTTTAAACGTGTGCATGTATTGGCTGCTAGGCCAAGTGGCTTTGCTCCATCAACCAGGCGGTAGACCAGGCCCTGAGTGGGGCGGGGCAGGACACGGCATCAGTCAGCTCAGGGTCGGGGCAGAAGTTAGAGCCTCCAATCTCCAGGATGGCCTCTTACACCTTTTATAAGGACGGACGGCTGAAAGATGCAACATATGAAGGACGCTGGCTTGCCGGGAAGCCAAACGGCAGGTTGGACGCATATTCTCTCTGTTTGCATGTTGATTTGAATATATTAGAAATTTATATTGATATGTAACAATGATTGGGATTATGTTTTTCAGGGGAGTGTTAAAATGGTCTGATGGGAGGATATATACAGGGACGTTCAAGAATGGACTGGAGGATGGGTGAGTGCTGGCCACCAACATTACTCTTTAATATAATAATAATAATCTTTATTTGTAGAGCACTTTTCAAAAACAAGTAACAAAGTGCTTTAACAAGTGTAAAGACAATAATACCCAAAAAACAATAATACAAAAACAATACAAGAATATACCCGCAAGCGGCGATTCGCGAGTTCATACCTTTTTCGCAATATCGCCATCAAAAAAATTTCACACATACGGTTCAACATTGTTATAAAACCTATCCTACAAGTTTTGTAACAACTGGACAACCATTTTCTGATCTATAGCTCGATTTGTATCATTCCACATCCAGTTACGATGCATTTAAAGCGCCACCTAGTGGTCGATTTGAATGAAACTTTCAAGGCATATTTCCGGCACACATGTGGACATATCCTGTGAGTTTTGTGATGATTGGACCAATGCTTACGGATTCTTGTCTATTTATGTCCTGAGCCACACCCTTCACATGTTTATTGGTCAATATCTTGAAAACGAAAGGAGCTATCACCAAGCTTTATACAACTTTATATACGCTAAGGCCAATGATGATCCAGAAAAAATTTGGTGGCAATTGGAGCTACGGTCTAGGAGGAGATGTAAAAAGTGTGTTTGCATTATGGCAAGCGGCCATAAAAATCCTGTTTTAATGTGTTATGTATCTGTATGTGTTGGGCAATAGTTCTTCAAATACGCTAGTTGACCTTTTCCTTAAAAAACAACTACAGCTTTTATTTGTAGGAGTGCACTGACTGCAAAGAACAAAACATTTACTGGGAACAAGCCCACTCAAGATTACAGACATCAGGGAGCATTAATATTTTTCTTTCATATTAGACTATAGAATAATGTAATTGAAATATACACTATGTAAATACTAGTATTATTAACCATACTATTTCATTAAAATGGTTTGAAAATATAGATGCCAGTAAAACTACAATACAATACTCTCTCTTGCTGCTGTGTTTCTAACATCTCAACAAACAGCATGGCAGAGCGAGAGAGAGATCATTTACACTCCCGGCTCCGTACCTTTCATCCAGCGCAGCCAGCCGCCATATTGGCGTAATAACCGCGGATAATAAAGCAGCATGAAAGCGGCTAAATGACAACAACCGCAATCCATAGCCTGGTATCAACCGATCCAGTACAACAGTTTGTCCCATACACGGAGCAGCAGCTCACAGTCACGATGATTAACGATGCTTCACTCACCAAAGCAGGCTCACTTCAGCAGAAAGGCGCAGCGGCGGCTGGGCAAACTTCCGGAGGACTGAAGTTTTTCAGAGAGCCCGCAGACTCGTTGTGGCCCGGCAGTGCTGTTTAACATTTTCCACAGAGTTTAATAAGCGTTACGATCCGACCGTCACTGAGCTCGTAGCTGTTTCCTCTGTCTATTTGTTGGGCAGCGATGTTTAACTCTTTAAAGTAAGCTCAGTTCACAGCATCGTCCAGATAACTCCCGCTGGTGTCATGTTTTGCAATCCTCGGGTATATCCGAGGCACCTATCTGAACATATCCTGTGAGTTTTGTGATGATCGGCTCTACGGTTGCTGATTTGTGGTCATTTATGTCCAGAGCCACGCCCCTTTCAAAGTTCATTGGTCCATATCTTGAAAAGTAATTGAGATATCGACATGCTTTATACAACTTTTAATAAGCTTGATCCAATGATGATTCACTGAAAATTTGGTGGCAATCGGAGATACAGTCTAGGAGGAGATGTCAAAAATGTGATTTTCAAAAAATTCAAAATGGCGGAAAAAACTCTAGGCGGACCTTAATAGTACTTGAGGCTTTTTTGTAGAGCACATTGAGCTGCACCTGTGTGAGAATTTCAAGTCAATCGGATTTACGGTGTAAGGGGCGTGGCCTTTCAAAGTTTGCATTTTTAAGCGTTATTTACAGCGCCACCATGTGGCCGATTGAGTTCATATTTCTATGGAAGCTGATGCACACCATTTCCAGTTATTCCCCCAAGTTTCATGTTTCTAGCTCATTCCAGCTCATGGGAATTTGAGCCGGCGCGGCAGACAACAGACTACGCAGTATGAACCCTAATAAAAGCAAGAAAACATTGAAAACACTAAAATACACGTTTAAGATAAATATAGAATAAGTAAAATAGAATAAAATAAAAGGCAAATAAGATCGGGAAAGGCTCTCCTATAAAAGTATGTTTTAAGAAGGGACTTAAAAGAGTTCACTGACTCAGCCGACCTGATTTCCTCGGGCAGGCTGTTCCAGAGCCTCGGGGCCCTGACAACAAACGCTCTGTCCCCTTTAGTTTTCAGTCGAGACTCTGGAACAGACAGCAGACCTCTGCCCAAGGATCTCAAGGTATGAGCTGGTGTATGGGACTAAAAGGTCAGAAATATAACAAGGCGAGAGGCCATGAAGAGCTTTAAAAGTGATCAATACATTTTTTTAAGTCAATTCTAAAACATACTGGGAGCCAGTGTAGTGAAGCTAAAATATGGGTAATGTGGTCATATTTCTTCGTTCAGGTTAAAAGCCTGACAGCTGAGTTCTGGACAGTCTGGAGTCGATCAGTAGATTTTTGGGTTAAACAAGTGAAAAGGCTGTTGCAACAATCCAGGCGCTTAAAAGTTAACATAGATCGAATTTTTGCTATATTTCTAAGTTGATAAAAACATGATTGAACAAGCTTTGTGGTGTGCTGCTCGAAATTTAAATTACTATCAAACCAGACACCAAGGTTCTTTGCAACAGGCTTAATGTGATTTACCAGCAGATGGCAGATTTGCCATCTGCTGGGACCCAATGACCAGGATATCTGTTTTGTCTGAGGTCAGCTGGAGGAAATTATTTGACATCCATTTTTTAACTTCACAAGGCAGTTAAGTGAAATCAGCATTCCAGGGTCTGTGGATCTGACGGGCAAGTACATTTGTGTGTCATCAGCATAAATATGAAAAGAAATACCATGTTTGTGGATAATATGTCCAAGGAGAAGCAGATACTAGGAAAACAAAATGGGTCCTAAGACTGACCCCTGAGGTACACCATATTTAACTGGACAGAACGAAGAGACATAGTTGTTTATAGACACGCAAAACTTCCTATTTGACAGGTAGGATGAAAACCATTCTAGTGTAGTACCAGAGATCCCCACCCAGTGCCTCAGTCTGTCTAACGTGATGTTGTGATCAATGGTGTCAAAAGCAGCGCTAAGGTCCAGGAGTACCAGGACTGAGCACATGCCATCATCAGCAGACATTAAAAGGTCATTGGTGACTTTAAGCAGGGCAGTCTCAGCGCTGTGGTACTTCCTAAAACCAGACTGAAACTTTTCAAATAATTTGTTATTTTCCAGTACAGTGACCAGCTGTTCGGACACAATTCTTTCAAGAATCTTTGCAATAAAAGGCAGTTTTGAAATTGGTCTAAAATTTTGATGGAGGGAGGGATCTAAACCAGGTTTCTTTAAAAGTGGGTTCACGTAAGCCGTTTTAAAATAATCAGGGACACAACCAGTAGATAGGGAGCTGTTAAAAACAGAGATCAAATGGGGCCCAACAGAATCCATTACTTTCAGTAAAAACTTTCTAGGTATAACATCAAGTGGGCTGGAGGACACTCTCATTTGTGATACTGTTTTTAAAAGCTCAGACAGGTTGATGGGATAAAACTGGTTAAAACTCTCTTGTTGCTGGTGAGGGACCTCTGAGTAAGAGGCAGTGGGGGTAATAGAGGCTCTGATTGACACCACCTTATTGGTAAAATAAGATAAAAACAATTCACAGTCATCATTACTTCCAGCTGAGGCACAAGGAGGGGTTGGGTTTACCAGCTGATCCACAGTCTTAAACAGAAACCTGGGATTGTGTTTATGTGTAGTAATGAGTTCAGAATCCTGTGACAGAATAAATATACAGTATTCTGTCATAGGATGTACTTAGTGTACATTACCTTATGTGTTATTCTTTCACAAGGGAGGATTATCTAAAGTTTAAGCCCCTTTCCCTTTATCCTGCTCTTGTATATTTCTGTTTGTGTAGCTTTGGTGAATTTGATGCTCCCAATAAGACCCTCAACAAGAGCGATCACTATCAAGGTCACTGGAAAGAAGGCAAGATGCACGGCCTGGGGACATACAGGTGAGTGTGTATGAAAAAATTATGGTTATGGACTTTATTGTTTATGTTGTGGAAAATAGTTTTGGGCTTCACCACATAGGACAATGCCTGACAATAAAGGACAAAGATGAGGACAAACTGCTTTTTAGAGCCCGAGCACGACCGTGCGAGGTCCCTATTGAATTTGCTCGGATTATTAGGGCCCGAGCACGACCGTGTGAGGTCCCTATTGAATTTGCTCGGATTATTATTATTTTTTTATTTATTTATTTTTTTTTCTGCAAAGTAGGCCCAAATGACATGGCCTAAACATACTCGAAAACTCACCAAAATTTGCAAACATGTCAGAACCGGTGAAAAATTTCGTATTCTACAAGTTGCGCACATGGGCGTGGCAAAATGACTCGCTAGCGCCACCTAGAAAATTGGAAATGATTAGCCCCTCGTTCACGTTCAACCTACATGTACGAAATTTTCTGGGGACATGTATCGTATCAAGACGCACAAAAAAGCCTCAAGAACCCATAGCCTAAAGTCAACAGGAAGTCGGCCATTTTGAATTTTACGGCCATTTTTGGATGATTTACACACTTCGTACTTTAACGAACTCCTCCTAGGGATTTAGTCGGATCGACGTCAAATTTCTGCTGTGCCTTCTAAAGGCATTGACGATGAAAAGTTGTGCTATTTGCGCGTTTTCGTCAATGGGCGTGTCCGTGGCGTCGATGATTCGCAATGAAACAGGAAGTTGTTGTAACTTCAGTGTACATGCTCACATCCGGACCAAACTGTACATGTAGGATGAGAGTCCCGCCCTGAACACATGTACATGCCGACATTCACCCACAGTCATAGCGCCACCTGCTGGCAACAGAAAGTGACCTTTAACGAAGCAGCCCCCGCCGCACGTTTCACCTACGTGCACGAATTTTCTGTGGTACGTGTATCTTGTCCAGACGCACAAAAAAGTCTCTTGGAGCCATAGCCTAAACCCAACAGGAAGTCGGCCATTTTAAATTTTACGTCAAATTTTGGATGATTTACACACTTCGTACTTTAACGAACTCCTCCTAGGGATTTAGTCCGACCGACCTCAAATGTTTGCTGTGCCTTCTAAAGGCATTGAAGATGAAAAGTTGTGCTATTTGCAAGTTTTCGTCAATGGGCGTGTCCGTGGTGTGGCGTCAAAGATCAGCTCTTCGCCATGACACGGAAGTTGTCGTAACTTCAGTGTACATGCTCACATCTGGACCAAACTGTACATGTAGGATGAGAGTCCCGCCCTGAACACATGTACATGCTGACATTCACAGACAGTCATAGCGCCACCTGCTGGCAACAGGAAGTGACTTTTAACGAAGCAGCCCCCGCCGCACGTTTTACCTACGTGCACGAATTTTCTGTGGTACGTGTATCTTGTCCAGACGCACAAAAAAGCCTCTTGGAGCGATGCCCTAAAATCAACAGGAAGTAGGCCATTTTGAATTTTACGTCAAATTTTGGATGATTTACACACTTCGTACTTTAACGAACTCCTCCTAGGGATTTAGTCCGACCGACTTCAAATTTGTGCTGTGCCTTCTAAAGGCATTGAAGATGAAAAGTTGTGCTATTTGCGAGTTTTCGTCAATGGGTGTGTCCGTGGCGTGGCGTCAGAGATCAAGTCTTCGCCATGACACAGGAAGTTGTTGTAACTTCAGTGTACATGCTCACATCTGAACCAAACTTTACGTGCTTGATAACTCTCCCACCCCGCTATGGAGGACCGATCCTGACACAGTCAGAAATAAATACAGAAATAAATAAATGCTCAATAAAAATAAAGCATCCAATTAAATACACAAAAAAATAAAGTAAATAAATAAATGTAGGTAGTAATTAAATTATACAAGGAGACATAAATGTATATATTTTAATTAGTGCCTTTACTTATTCACCTTTGTTATAATTACCTTATTTGTTTATTCAACTTTATTTATTACTAATTTTTTAAATGTATTTATTTATGTGTGTGTTTTAATATTTTTGTCTGTTTTATTCTTCCTTTGTATTTATTTACCTTATTTATTTTCACCCATGGTATTTATTTCTGCCTGTCTTTTTTAAATTTTTGTATGCATTTCTGCCTCATTATGCAAATGAGGAGGGGCTGTGTCTCAAGGGGTCATCTTCTCTGCTATTGGTGGACCAGTCAGACAGGAGAGCTCCTACTCTGCCTGCAGACATCAGCGATCTTGCCCCTCACACAGTCAGATGGCTTCCTTCAGTGCGCTGAGGTGTTTAACAACTCTGAAGACAATACTACCAGCAATGTCTTCCTTCTCTTTTCACGTAGACGCTCCGACAGACAGTGCTTTCAGTTTGCTGCATGCATGGACACAGAACTGCGGTATAGGGAGAAGCACACGGTCAGCTGGCTGCAGCTAAATCTGGAGTGCACTCGTATTCAATTCTGTATGGTAAATTCAGTTTTAACGGAGCAGAGCGAGCTGACAGGCAGAGTTAGAGACTTTTTCTGTCTGTTTCTCTCTTTACAAAGACGCATGTTGCAGTCAGAGTCTTCTCTGAGATGCGAGCACGACATACAACACAATTTATCAAATTACACAACGGATATACAGTATGAAAATAAGATTGATTGGATTATACTCACAGGAAGTATAAAACCTCTTACATGGGTCTATTAAAAGTAAAGTAACACAAAAATGTCAGGGAAATTACTTTACTTAGATTTAAGTACTGCAGTTGTACATTTGAAATACCTTCCTACCTTTCTGATAGGAAGCCTTCTTGAGGTGGTATAAAACATTTCTTCTTATATTCTGATTTGAGTTGTGGACAACTATGACCACATGAATTAAAAAAATTAAACATTTCACTTCCCAAGTCAGCTATAACACAAGTCTTGATCATCAGACTACATGCTGTACAGTATTTGTGGACAGATTTTGTCCCAGGATTTCTTATGCATTTCTTCTTCTTCGTTGCATGATTTAGAATAATAAGGTGAGAAATGGGTCTATTCTGAGTTCATCCTGCACTGCAGCAGCTAATAAAGTCTATTTAATCCCCAAAACGCTTTTCTTTTAGGCAGGCTGGAGCAGAAAACAACTCACCTTTCTCAAGTTGTACAGTAATGTCACATGTGTATGAAGGTGGATCAAACAAGCTAATCTTAAATGTCAAAGTGGAGAGGAGCCTAGTAGGCCTATTTATTTTCATTCATTACACAATATGAATAAGCTATGCAGACAGTTGTAAAGAAAGAACATCTTTTTCTTCTGTTCTCTACTTGTTATAGTTACACAGTATTAGGGGTGTGGGCTGTATTAAAAGTATCCACTGTTCTCCCATGCTCTAACACACAGTAACGATGAAATGTGTGCTGTTCTCACATTCTTCCTCTGTATGTACACATAAACAACAAGGCAGGGAAATATAAAAGGAATTTATTTTATTGTTTGGGTACATTATTGTTCAGTGTACATGTTCACATCTGAAACAAACTTTACGTGCTTGATAACTCTCCCACCCCGCAGACATCTACACGTCAATACCGATTTATATTCATAGCGGCAAGTGCTATGTAGCTCCACATAGGGGACACAGGAAGTGACATATAGCACATTCATGCGGCGTCGGAACCGCGTAGGAAATTCACAGCCGCACCAGCAGAGCTCCAGAATGTGCTACTCGGCCGGCTCACGCGCGGACGCGCTTACAAGTGCGAGGGCCCGCCCAACGCTGCTTGCAGCTTTAATATATATATATATATATATTTTTAGGGCCCGAGCACGACCGTGTGAGGTCCCTATTGAATTTGCTCGGATTATTATTATTATTATTATTTTTTTTTTTTTTCTGCAAAGTAGGCTCAAATGACATGGCCTAAACATTCTCGAAAACTCACCAAAATTTGCAAACATGTCAGAACCGGTGAAAAATTTCGTATTCTACAAGTTTCGCACATGGGCGTTGCAAAATGACTCGCTAGCGCCACCTAGAAAATTGGAAAAAATTAGCCCCTCGTTCACGTTCAACCTACATGTACGAAATTTTCTGGGGACATGTATCATATCAAGACGCACAAAAAAGCCTCAAGAACCCATAGCCTAAAGTCAACAGGAAGTCGGCCATTTTGAATTTTACGGCCATTTTTGGATGATTTACACACTTCGTACTTTAACGAACTCCTCCTAGGGATTTAGTCGGATCGACGTCAAATTTGTGCTGTGCCTTCGAAAGGCATTGACGATGAAAAGTTGTGCTATTTGCGCGTTTTCGTCAATGGGCGTGTCCGTGGCGTGGCGTCAAAGATCAACTCTTCGCCATGACACGGAAGTTGTCGTAACTTCAGTGTACATGCTCACATCTGCACCAAACTGTACATGTAGGATGAGAGTCCCGCCCTGAACACATGTACATGCTGACATTCACCCACAGTCATAGCGCCACCTGCTGGCAACAGGAAGTGACTTTTAACGAAGCAGCCCCCGCCGCACGTTTCACCTACGTGCACGAATTTTCTGTGGTACGTGTATCTTGTCCAGACGCACAAAAAAGCCTCTTGGAGCGATGCCCTAAAATCAACAGGAAGTTGGCCATTTTGAATTTTACGTCAAATTTTGGATGATTTACACACTTCGTACTTTAACGAACTCCTCCTAGGGATTTAGTCCGACCGACTTCAAATTTGTGCTGTGCCTTCTAAAGGCATTGAAGATGAAAAGTTGTGCTATTTGCGAGTTTTCGTCAATGGGTGTGTCCGTGGCGTGGCGTCAGAGATCAAGTCTTCGCCATGACACAGGAAGTTGTTGTAACTTCAGTGTACATGCTCACATCTGGACCAAACTTTACGTGCTTGATAACTCTCCCACCCCGTTATGGAGGACCGATCCTGACACAGCCAGAAATAAATACAGAAATAAATAAATGCTCAATAAATAAATAAGCATCCAATTAAATACACAAAAAAATTAAAGCTGCAAGCAGCGTTGGGCGGGCCCTCGCACTTGTAGCGCGTCCGGGTGTGAGCCGGCCGAGTTGCACATTCTGGAGCTCTGCTGGTGCGGCTGTGAATTTGCTACGCAATTCCGAGGCCGCATGAAGGTGTTATATGTCACTTCCTGTGTCCCCTATGTGGAGCTACATAGCACTTGCCGCTATGAATATAAATCGGTATTGGTGTGTAGATGTCTGCGGGGTGGGAGAGTTATCAAGCACGTAAAGTTTGTTTCAGATGTGAGCATGTACACTGAACAATAATGTACCCAAACAATAAAATAAATTCCTTTTATATTTCCCTGCCTTGTTGTTTATGTGTAGATACAGAGGAAGAATGTGAGAACAGCACACATTTCATCGTTACTGTGTGTTAGAGCATGGGAGAACAGTGGATACTTTTAATACAGCCCACACCCCTAATACTGTGTAACTATAACAAGTAGAGAACAGAAGAAAAAGATGTTCTTTCTTTACAACTGTCTGCATAGCTTATTCATATTGTGTAATGAATGAAAATAAATAGGCCTACTAGGCTCCTCTCCACTTTGACATTTAAGATTAGCTTGTTTGATCCACCTTCATACACATGTGACATTACTGTACAACTTGAGAAAGGTGAGTTGTTTTCTGCTCCAGCCTGCCTAAAAGAAAAGCGTTTTTGGGATTAAATGGACTTTATTAGCTGCTGCAGTGCAGGATGAACTCAGAATAGACCCATTTCTCACCTTATTATTCTAAATCATGCAACGAAGAAGAAATGCATAATAAATCCTGGGACAAAATCTGTCCACAAATACTGTACAGCATGTAGTCTGATGAACAAGACTTGTGTTATAGCTGACTTGGGCAGTGAAATGTTTTTTTAATTCATGTGGTCATAGTTGTCCACAACTCAAATCAGAATATAAGAAGAAATGTTTTATACCACCTCAAGAAGGCTTCCTATCAGAAAGGTAGGAAGGTATTTCAAATGTATAACTGCAGTACTTAAATCTAAGTAAAGTAATTTCCCTGACATTTTTGTGTTACTTTACTTTTAATAGACCCATGTAAGAGGTTTTATACTTCCTGTGAGTATAATCCAATCAATCTTATTTTCATACTGTATATCCGTTGTGTAATTTGATAAATTGTGTTGTATGTCGTGCTCGCATCTCAGAGAAGACTCTGACTGCAACGTGCGTCTTTGTAAAGAGAGAAACGGACAGAAAAAGTCTCTAACTCTGCCTGTCAGCTCGCTCTGCTCCGTTAAAACTGAATTTACCATACAGAATTGAATACGAGTGCACTCCAGATTTAGCTGCAGCCAGCTGACCGTGTGCTTCTCCCTATACCGCAGTTCTGTGTCCATGCATGCAGCAAACTGAAAGCACTGTCTGTCGGAGCGTCTACGTGAAAAGAGAAGGAAGACATTGCTGGTAGTATTGTCTTCAGAGTTGTTAAACACCTCAGCGCACTGAAGGAAGCCATCTGACTGTGTGAGGGACAAGATCGTTGATGTCTGCAGGCAGAGTAGGAGCTCTCCTGTCTGACTGGTCCACCAATAGCAGAGAAGATGACCCCTTGAGTTATCAAGCACGTAAAGTTTGGTTCAGATGTGAGCATGTACACTGAAGTTACAACAACTTCCTGTGTCATGGCGAAGACTTGATCTTTGACGCCACGCCACGGACACACCCATTGACGAAAACTCGCAAATAGCACAACTTTTCATCTTCAATGCCTTTAGAAGGCACAGCACAAATTTGAAGTCGGTCGGACTAAATCCCTAGGAGGAGTTCGTTAAAGTACGAAGTGTGTAAATCATCCAAAATTTGACGTAAAATTCAAAATGGCCGACTTCCTGTTGATTTTAGGGCATTGCTCCAAGAGGCTTTTTTGTGCGTCTGGACAAGATACACGTACCACAGAAAATTCGTGCACGTAGGTGAAACGTGCGGCGGGGGCTGCTTCGTTAAAAGTCACTTCCTGTTGCCAGCAGGTGGCGCTATGACTGTGGGTGAATGTCAGCATGTACATGTGTTCAGGGCGGGACTCTCATCCTACATGTACAGTTTGGTGCAGATGTGAGCATGTACACTGAAGTTACGACAACTTCCGTGTCATGGCGAAGAGCTGATCTTTGACACCACGCCACGGACACGCCCATTGACGAAAACTCGCAAATAGCACAACTTTTCATCTTCAATGCCTTTAGAAGGCACAGCAGAAATTTGAGGTCGGTCGGACTAAATCCCTAGGAGGAGTTCGTTAAAGTACCAAGTGTGTAAATCATCCAAAATTTGACGTAAAATTCAAAATGGCCGACTTCCTGTTGGTTTTAGGGCATCGCTCCAAGAGGCTTTTTTGTGCGTCTGGACAAGATACACGTACCACAGAAAATTCGTGCACGTAGGTGAAACGTGCGGCGGGGGCTGCTTCGTTAAAAGTCACTTCCTGTTGCCAGCAGGTGGCGCTATGACTGTGGGTGAATGTCGGCATGTACATGTGTTCAGGGCGGGACTCTCATCCTACATGTACAGTTTGGTGCAGATGTGAGCGTGTACACTGAAGTTACAACAACTTCCTGTGTCATGGCGAAGAGTTGATCTTTGACGCCATGCCACGGACACGCCCATTGACGAAAACTCACAGATAGCACAACTTTTCATCGTCAATGCCTTTAGAAGGCACAGCAGAAATTTGAGGTCGGTCGGACTAAATCCCTAGGAGGAGTTCGTTAAAGTACGAAGTGTGTAAATCATCCAAAATTTGACGTAAAATTCAAAATGGCCGACTTCCTGTTGGGTTTAGGCTATGGCTCCAAGAGACTTTTTTGTGCGTCTGGACAAGATACACGTACCACAGAAAATTTGTGCACGTAGGTGAAACGTGCGGCGGGGGCTGCTTCGTTAAAAGTCACTTCCTGTTGCCAGCAGGTTGCAAATTTTGGTGAGTTTTCGAGTATGTTTAGGCCATGTCATTTGAGCCTACTTTGCAGAGAAAAAAAATAAAATAATAATCTCAGCAAATTCAATAGGGACCTCACACGGTCGTGCTCGGGCCCTAAATATATAATCTTAGCAAATTCAATAGGGACCTCACACGGTCGTGCTCGGGCCCTAAAAATATATTCTTAGCAAATTCAATAGGGACCTCACACGGTCGTGCTCGGGCCCTAATAATCTTAGCAAATTCAATAGGGACCTCACACGGTCGTGCTCGGGCCCTAATAATCTTAGCAAATTCAATAGGGACCTCACACGGTCGTGCTCGGGCCCTAACTAATGAAAAATGCTAAACTATAATAACCTTGAAGTACTCGTTGACAAATTTGCAGGAAAGAAAGATTTTGGAAGAAGAGACTTCATTTCAGCAGCACACAAAGCTGCTTAGAATAAATACCCTCCGTCCGTCTGTAGGTATGCCAGCGGTGAAGTTTACGATGGATCCTTCCAGGACAGCATGCGACACGGCCACGGCATGCTGCGCAGTGGCAAGCTCAACACTTCCTCCCCCAGTGTCTTCATTGGCCAGTGGCTGCAGGACAAGAAGACCGGCTACGGAGTCTTCGACGATATCACAAAGTACGCTCAAAGTATCATTGGCTGTCGTCAGATGGTTTACATGTCCACTACATGTTTAAAATGTCTTTTTCTCTGTACAAGGTATAAAAAGAATCTGACAAGACTTTCTACACAGCCTGAGTCTGACTTCACTGCAGTCAAATTAACAGACAGGCTGCAGCACACACAGGGTTAAAGACAGCAGGGAATGAAATGATATGTGCGTTGTTTCCTTGGTTTCATTTTCTTATTTCATTAGCATTCTTTATGCACAAGGAAATAAAATCCAGCATAAAATGCCACAAGTCAGTTTTCTCTGTGTCCCAGCTCAGCGGGGTATTGCAAGGCTTATTGCTTTATTTGTCTGCTATACTGCTGTGTATAAGCAAGAGCTGTTTGTCTGTTTTCTATCCAGAGGAGAGAAGTACATGGGCATGTGGCAGGACCACCTGCGGCAGGGCACCGGGGTCGTTGTCACTCAGTTTGGCCTGTACTACGAAGGAGCCTTCAAAGATAATAAGATGATGGTGAGCACCTATGTCTTTGAGTCCCATTTTGTGTGTGGTGGAGTTCAAGAGTGAGACCCAGGAGAGAAAGCTCTTTTGTGATTTCATCCAAGCCCAGCAGGGGATTGTCTCCCAAGTACTTTTACTACAAAGTTCCTACACAAAGTCTTAAAGACAGGTGCATCAGATCATAAACTGTGACTGCAAAAGAACCAAAAAATACACAAGCACTTTATTACTCACTTTATTTACAATATTTTGCTCGCCAGACCTTCATCAGATAAGATTACGAAGGTCTGAGGAGGACTGAAACATAAATAAAGAAGAGAAACAGCGCTGACCTTTGGTATCAGTTGAACATGGTTTTAGAATGGATAAGGATATTGAACTGATGGTGAAAATGTCTTGAAAACATTCTAACTAACAAGGTTATTATGAAGTAATACAGTTCATCAGACTGAAAAGAGTGTTATCTTCTCAAGCTTAAAGGCACATTTTAAGGCAAAAAGTGTCTACAAGGCCAGTGACACATGAAAATATATCAAATTAGGCACATTTCAACATGAGATAAATGTTTCTGAGTAGATTTCTTCTTTAAAATCACAGGTAATGAATCTACTGTATGTATAGCAGCTGTTTTATGCATTATATTTATTCTTTCAGGGTCTGTACAGCATTAGAAAAGATTCACTTATCAGCTCACTGGAAACACTGGGGTGCCATTTAAGATAAAGAGGAGATGTGAGGAAAAGAAGAGACTAAAGGGAGGTGTTTTTCTGTCTTTAGGGCACTGGGATCCTCCTGTCAGAGGACGACACTGTGTACGAGGGGGAATTCTCTGATGACTGGACCCTCAATGGAAAGGTAACCAATGAACACACAGAGTGATGATACATGTGTTCAAAATAAATGTTAAAATATCTTTAACTGTTAAATATGTCTGGAATTACATTTGTGTTTTTACTCCATCTTATCTATTTTATATTTTTAATCTCTTTTGTTGGTATTGTTGTTACATTTTATTCTTTGTATTTCTGGTGTGCATGAGTCTCAAACTGTTTAACTGTTTACAATTGTACTTTCTTATTGATCAGCTTGTCTGTCATCTCTAAAACCCTTCAGATTGATTTGATTTAATTATTTTAAATGAACCAGGATTAAAACAATGAGGCAAATAAAATCAGACTATTTAAAATAATAATAATAATAAAATAGAATAGAATAAAATACCCATCAATGACAATATAACAGATAAGACATGTTGGAAATAAAACTGCATGCTTACACAGTGGAATATATTGAAGTATTGGCAGTAAAATGTACACCAGTGTAGTTTAATGGACTGGTTGGCTATCCCCCAGGGCGTCCTTACCATTGCAAATGGTGACTACCTGGAGGGCTCCTTCAGTGGAGAATGGGGCTCTGGCCTCAAAGTGGCGGGGTCCTACTTCAAACCAAACCTGTTTGACACCGATAAGGAGAAGACCCGTGCCGTGTAAGCTCTCAGAAAAATATCACTTTTTATTAAACTACATTTACCTGTCTTATTATACTTATATACTTTGTGTGTTGTGGCAGAAAGCTGGGCCGTCTGTGTGTGTGTGCAGAGGATAAGTGGCAGGCGGTGTTTGAGGAGTGTTGGAGCCAGCTTGGCTGCGAGGCGCCTGACCAAGGAGAGAACTGGAAGGCTTGGGAGAACATCACTGTGGCCCTCACCACCAGGCGACAACACATCCAGGACAGGTACACACACACTTTTATAGTCACATTTATAGTGTGATCTTCACGGTCAATTATTTATCTGTCTTTGGATTCTTCATGTTAGCAAGTAAAAGCAGCCAAATGAGTTATAGCTAACTTTAAAGAGGTCATATTATGCTCATTTTCAGGTTCAAAATAGGTTGTTAGTTAGGGGTTGTACCAGAACAGGTTTACATGGTTTCCTTTTCAAAAAACACCATGTTTTTGTCATACTGCACATTGCTGCAGCTCCTCTTTTAACCCTGTGATGAATGCTTCGTTTTAGCTGTGGAGTGATGCATCTTGTCTCTAAATGATCTTTGATGGGAGTTGCACATGCGCAGTTCCTAGGTAAGGACTACTAGCCAATCAGAAGCAGAGAAGGGCGGGTCAGTGAGAAGCAAACACGGCTTTGTTTCAGCTGTACATGTTGCTGACCAGCTTGGCTGGAGCAAGAGTTTCAGAGTGGTGAGTTATCTGTAATCTGTAACAAATGTATCTTTCATCCATAAAGTTTTAACTGAGCTCTGTCTCTACATCACAGTAGCAACTTTATGTCCATTGACTGCCTGGAGGGTAGCTAGTGTTTGGAAGGGAGAGGTGTGTGCTGCAGCTCTTGTGTTTTTACACTGCTGTTTTTGAGGGCATGTCGGGCTAGCAGCTTGGCGAGAGTTATGAGGCGCATTTAGCTTTCTTCCCTGTGTCGTCACAAGGATGAAAGGGAAGCGGCTGGACTACAAACGAGATAGTTTTCAGGCAGTTCAGAACTGGGAACTCCCTTTGGGGTGGACTTTGGGCTTTTTCACTTTGCAAACCTATTACATGCACAAAAAAGGTATATAACTCAATAAAGGAGAAGGAAAAAGCCAAAAAATACCACCTCTTTAAAGGCTGATGTAAGTGTTTTGTTTGTGTGTCAGGAGCCACAGCAGAACCCTGGATAGTCTGGAGGTCATCCCACAGCACGTAGGTCCGATCACCATGGAGCGATACAACACCATTCGCCTCTACCTCATCAAGGTAAGCCCACCAACCAATCCTCATGTCTAATAACCCAGTCACTGTGGCCAGTCTCTGGGAGGCAACAGTACATTTCATCCAAAATGGATTTAAAATGGAGTGTGACAGCTGAAACTAGTTTTCTCTGGACCCCTGCCAAATCTGACCAGTGATGACATGTATAGCCGCATGTCGTCATTCCGCCACTGGTTGTCAAGGTGGTGTCCAGCAAACGATGTGGGCTTTGTAGATCATTGGCAGACTTTCTGGGGAAGACCTGGTCTGATTCGGCATCCATCCCACTTGGGAAGGAGCAGCTCTCATTTCTAGAAATCTGTCCAAGTTTATTAGTGGACCAAATCCATGACAACCCAGAGTTGAGACCAGGAGGCAGAGTCGCAGTCTAACACACTTCTCTGCCCTTCTATTTCAGCAGTTACCCACCCAAAACCCTACGCAGAGTCGCAGTCTAACACACTTCTCTGCTCCTCCATTCCAGGAGTTACTTGAAAACCCTATAGTGACGGTGTCTGTCCCCCGACCATTGAAATTATTTAAATCAAAGGTAAGCAGAAGAGGAGCTGTGCATAAAAACCTCATAAAAATTAAAACCACAAGAGCAATAGTGCAAACGAATAGGAGAGTTAAATGTAGACTCTTAAACATCAGATCTCTCTCTCCTAAAGGTGTACTAGTAAATGAACTAATATCAGATTATGATATTGATTTATTTTGTCTTACTGAAACCTGGCTGGGTGATGGAGAATATGTTAGCCTAAATGAATCCACCCCTCCCAGTCATATTAATACTCACATCCCTCGAGGCACAGGCCGAGGAGGTGGAGTTGCAGCTATCTTCGACTCTAGCCTACTAATCAGCTCTAAACCTAAACTAAACTATAGCTCATTTGAAAGCCTTGTTCTTAGTCTTTCACACCCAAGTTGGAAATCACTGCAACCAATTCTATTTGTTATAGTGTACCGAGCACCTGGCCCGTACTCTGAATTCTTATCTGAATTTGCAGAGTTTTTGTCAACTTTAGTTATTATTGTAGGGGATTTTAATATTCACGTGGACGTTGAGAATGACAGCTTTAGTACTGCGTTTATCTCTCTGTTAGATTCCATTGGCTTCTCTCAGAGTGTTCATGAACCGACTAACTGTTTTAACCACACCCACGACCTTGTTTTGGTATATGGTATTGAAACTGAACATTTAATAGTGTTCCCACAGAATCCCTCTTTATCTGACCACTGTTTGATAACTTTTGAGTTTGTATTGCTGAACTACACGCCATTAGGCAAAAATGTTTATACAAGATGTCTGTCTGATAGTGCTGTAGCTAAATTTAAAGTTCGGAAGACTCCTATGCTAATTTCAGTCCCTCCCAAATCGATCATCTTGTTGATAGTGCTGCAGGCTCGCTGCGAATGACACTCGACTCTGTAGCCCCTCTAAAAAAGAAAATACTAAAACAAAGACGGTTAGCTCCATGGTATAATACTGAAACTCGCAAATTAAAGCAAATATTGTGGAAACTTGAGAGGAATTGGCGTTCCACCAAACTGGAAAATTCTCGTTTAATTTGGCAAGATAGTCTTAATAGGAAGGCCCTCCATAATGCCAGAGCAGCGTACTACTCGTCATTAATAGAGGAAAATAGGAACAACCCCAGGTTTCTTTTCAGCACTGTAGCCAGGCTGACAGAGAGTCACAGCTCTATTGAGCCAAGTATTCCCATAGCTCTTAGTAGTTACGATTTCATAAGCTTCTTTAATGATAAAATTCTAACTATCTAAAAATTCACCAAGACCTGCCCTCAACTGGCATCGACTTATCTCTAAACTCAGGAACCTTAGAAACAGCTGTAAAACCAGATATATTGACTGCTTTGCTTCCCTCAATCTTTTACAATTAACTTCAATAATTTCTTCATCTAAACCAGTGGTTCCTAACCTGGGGGTCAGGACCCCCCTGGGTGTCGCGACCTGGTCCCAGGGGGGTCTATAAAACTATAAAACGACAAAGAAGAATCAGGCCCCAATCAGACATAAAGCGCTTTGCAGGTTCGAAAATGCGCCTCGCATTTTTCGCACAGCAGCGCCCTTTTTTTGTTTAATTTAGAAAAGAGCAAAGTGCTGCGTATTTTTTCATATTCGTCATATTAGCAGAAACTTGTTCACAACTCACAGGTCTGAGTCTTTTGTTGATAAAAAAAATCTGCCAAACAGAGTGCGCTTGCACTGGCACTGTTATAAGTGTGTGTGGTGTACAAAGGCGCAGAAGACAGGGAAACTGAGATTCGTGTGGGCACATCAGACCCTCAGAAAAGGGAGACACTGCTGGTAGTAGGCTACCACCAGCTGGTCCAGGAGGTTCGTCTTACTGATGGTCAGTTCAAGGCATATTTTAGGATGAGTCGGGGAGAGTCCAAAATATTTTCAACTTCAAAAAGGGGTCGGACTGCCAGAAAGGTTAAGAACCCCTGATCTGAACCCCTGATCTAAACCATCAACCTGCCTTTTAGACCCCATCCCGACTAGGCTGCTTAAAGAAGTTTTACCTCTAGTCAGCACTTCTATACTAGATATGATCAATCTATCTTTATCAACAGGCTATGTACCATAGTACTTTAAAGTAGCTATAATTAAACCTCTTCTGAAAAAGCCCAACCTTGATCCAGATGTTTTAGCTAACTATAGATAGAACTTCAAATGTGCCTTCAGGATGTTAAAACCTGTATGGCCTGTAATTTTCTAATGTTAAACTCAGCTAAAACTGAAGTTATTGTTCTGGGGCCCAAGCACCTCCGTGACACATTATCTAAAGATATTGTTTTCCTTGATGGCATCGCCCTGGCCTCCAGCACCACTGTGAGGAATCTTGGAGTTATCTTTGATCAGGACATTTAAGTCTCACATTAAGCAAATTTCACGGACCGCCTTTTTTCACCTACGTGATCTTGCGAAAATCAGGAACATCCTGTCTAAAAATGATGCAGAAAAACCAGTCCATGCATTTGTTACTTCTAAGATGGATTACTGCAATTCCTTATTATCAGGCTGCTCGAAAAAGTCCATTAACACTCTTCAGCTGATCCAGAATGCTGCAGCACGTGTTCTGACAGGAACCAGGAAAAAAGATCACGTTTCTCCTGTTTTAGCTTCTCTGCATTGGCTTCCAGTAAAATCCAGAATAGAATTTAAAATCATTCTTCTCACCTACAAAGCTCTTAATGGTCAGGCACCATCTTATCTTAAAGAGCTCATAGTACCTTACTGCCCCACCAGAGCACTGCGCTCCCAGAATGCAGGGTTACTTGTGGTTCCTAGAGTCTCCAAAAGTAGAATGGGAGCCAGAGCGTTCAGCTATCAAGCTCCTCTCCCTTGGAACCAGGTTCCAGTTTGGTTTCAGGAGGCAGACACCATCTCCACATTTAAGAGTAGGCTTAAGACTTTCCTTTTTGATAAAGCTTATAGTTAGGGCTGGCTCAGGTGAGTCCTGAACCATCCCTTAGTTATGCTGCTATAGGCCTAGACTGCCGGGGGACTTCGCATGATGTGCTGAGCTCCTCTCTCCTCTACTTTCTCTCCCTCTGTATGCAACCTCATCCCATTATTGCATGTTACTAACACAACTTCTCCCCTTTCCGGTAGTCTTGTGCTTTCTCGTCCCTCTCCTCTCTCCTCCTATCACTTCCTGCAGGTGTTTCTGGCTCTGGAGCTGTGGAGTCTGGATCTGTGGCTGCGGGTCACCTGCTGCCCCCGTGTTCCTGCTCGACACCCTCTGCTACAATAATTGTTACTAGTCCTATTGTTATTGTAATCATTAACATTACGATTATTATCATTAACACTACTATACATATCTGTACCATTTTACATTTAGTCTATAGCAACATCACCTTTACTGTCTGTACCTCTGTGTGTATATTGTGTAGGCTGCCTCCTTCCCCTCTCTCTCTCCTTCCATCCCTCTCTCTCTTTCTCTCTCTCTCGCTCTCGCTCTCGCTCTCTCTCTCTCTCTCTCTCTCTCTCTCTCTCCTTCACCCCCAACCGGTCGAGGCAGATGGCCGCCCACCCTGAGCCATGGTTCTGCTCGAGGTTTCTGCCTCTTAAAAGGAAGTTTTTCCTTGCCTCTGTCGCCTAGTGCTTGTTGAATTGTTGGGTTTCTGTAAATAACATCACGAGTACGGTCTAGACCTGCTCTTTTTTGAAAAGCGCTGTGAGATAACTGTTGTTGTGATTTGACGCTATATAAATAGAATTGAATTGAATTATTGGACTGAAAGCACCAGGTTTAGAACAATTCTGTGGAGCAGTAAACTGAAGTAACTGTACCTGAATCTACAAGGTAGCATATAATTCCCCGTTATTTTCTTTTTTTCCTTGAGGCCTGTGACACACCCCTCCACCCGCTGGGCGGGCTGGTGGAAACCCTCGTGGCAGTTTACAGGATGACCTATGTGGGTGTTGGAGCGAATCGTCGGCTGCTGCCTCAGGCTGTCAATGAGATCAAGTCGTACCTCAACCGAATCTTCCAGATTGTCAGGTAGTTCTCACACAGCTTACTTTCAAGTAAATGTACAAACTGGATATAGATGAAGGGACTCGTGCAGAATTTCTGTTGTTCATCAATGTGTTTGTTTGTGTGTGCTCTTGAATGCTCTGTAGGTTTCTTTTCCCAGACCTGCCAGAAGAGGGCGGTCTAATTCCAGAGCCGACCACTATCCTCCAGGACAAGAAGGAGCAAGGCTCGACCGATGCCCCACTGGAGTCACCAAAACCTATGTAAAAGACCAGGCAGTGTCCACCTCGAAGATTTGCTGGTGCTCTAAGGTCCCTTGGTTCACGGTAACCTCTCCAATGTGTCTTTCGTCCTCAGCCGTGTGGTGAGCAGCTCAGCTCTGCTGCTCCCCGTGCTGCTACCTCGTCTCTACCCGCCACTCTTCACCCTCTATGCTCTGGACAAAGAGAGAGAAGACGACATCTACTGGGATTGTGTCCTCCGCCTCAACAAGCAGCCTGACCTGGCACTGCTCGCCTTCCTGGGCGTTCAGCAGTATGTCACACAGAAGAGAGTCCTGCTTCTTTTAATGTTTTACATGTAAATACTAACAAAAGTCTTCCTCTGTTTGTTTTTCACCTCTCAGAAAGTTTTGGCCTGTCTCCATGCCTGTGCTGGGGGAGAAACTGCAGGTATGGTGTATTTGTTCACTTAATCACATGTTTGGTTGAGCAAGTCTATATCAGAAGTGGCTGTTCAGACCAAATACAATGGAAGAAGTCCAGTTTGAGTAACAGGTTTTATCAGAACACTGGACAGCAGTTTATAATACTGTAAGATTTCACATTTTAAGTAATTTAGTTATCGCAGTGGCAACTATTTCATCTTTTGGCTCTTTGATCATGAGGTAAACAGTAGAAATATGATGTTCACGTTACAGAGTATTCCACCAGGAGCGTAAGCTTGACAAACACTGCTACTCAAATGTAAATATTTGTCAGTTTTCTCAGTCTTCTATGATTGGAAAGAGAATATTTTTCAGTTTTGGATTGTTGGTCAGAACAAAAAACAAGCGAATCGAAGCTGCCACTTTAGTCATTGTTCACTATTTTCTGACATTTTATTGACCAAATAAATACAGAATATAATCAGCAGATTGATTGATAATAATTGTTTCCAAGATGACCTGTCTGGCTGTCTGAACGCGGCCTAACACGTCTATTTTGAATCCTCGTCAGGTGTTTTTAGTGAACAGTAAACATAATAAATGACCCCACTCTCCATGATAGAAAGATGTAAAGAGTGTTTGTTCTGGTCTCTGTGTCTCCTGCAGGTTCTCTCCAACACCAAGAACATCTGCTTCGCCTCTGCAGTGGAAACATTACAGCAGATCAGGTAAAACTCTAATAATTAATTAACTAATAAAACAAAGGAAGGAAGACACTTTGTTGCACACATAGTCATTGTAATAAGACAAAGAAATTAGATGTTACTTGTTAACTTGATAAAATAGAAATAGATCAAAGTAGAATAAGAAAACCACTTGAGTAATATGTTTAAATACTAAATTAAAGTTTCCTTGTGTCTTGTTTGTTTGCAGCACAACGTTCACCCCGTCAGACAAGCTGCAGGTTATCAAGCTCACCTTTGAGGAGATCACCCAGGAGGTTCAGGCTCTGCTGAAGCAGAACTTCCTGTGGTCAATGGATGACCTATTCCCTGTATTCCTCTATGTGGTCCTGCGTGCACGGTCAGTATACAGACACTTCAACACATATTATGATGATGAAGAGAGAGAGAGCATGTTTTATTGTTTTATTGTTCTCTTTTATTGTAGGCAAGCGTTGGACCACACAAACAGGTTAGGGGTGAAGCTGGCGGAAACACACCTGCTGTAACCAAAGCAAATAAAAATGAACATTACCGTAATTTCCGGACTATTGAGCGCACCTGAATATAAGCCGCACCAACTGAATTTAAAAAAAAATATTATTTTGAATAAATAAATAAGCCGCACATGTCTATAAGCCACAGGTGCCTACCGGTACATTGAAATAAATGAACTTTACACGGGCTTTAACGAAACACGGCTTGTCACAAAAATAAATAGGCTTAACGAAACACGGCTTGTAACAAAAAATCAAGCAGTAAACAGTAGCCTACCAAGAAAGTCATTGGTCACTATCTTCCTCCTCCTGTGCACTGAAACCACTGAAGTCATCTCCTTCGGTGTCGGAGTTGAATAGCCTCAGAATTGCTTCATCCGATATTGGATAATTTTCATTGTCGCTCTCGTCACTTTCATCCGGAGGCAAATCCCCCGCTGAGCCCTCTTCAACACGCAGCAGTCCAGCCTTTCGAAACCCGTTGATGATAGTGGATTTTTTGACAATGCTCCACGCTGTCAGGACCCACTCGCAGACTTGACCATAAGTTGCTCTTCGCATGCGGCCCGTTTTAGTGAAGGATTTCTCCCCACTTGTCATCCAAGCCTCCCACTGACCACGGAGCGCCACCTTAAATGCACGATTGACACTGATGTCGAGTGGCTGCAAGTACTTTGTTGTGCCCCCAGGAATCACAGCTGGAATTGAGTTTGTCCTCTTGATGGCTTCTTTCACCGAATCTGTTATGTGGGCCCTCATGCTGTCCAAAACGAGCAATGCCTTGTTCCTGTGAAAGAATCCTCCCGGTCGCTTGCCGTAACACTCCGTATGCCATTCATGCATTAGGCTTTCCGTCATCCATCCTTTCTTGTTGACTTTCACAACATTTCCTCTCGGGAATTTTTCTTTTGGCATCGTTGTGGAAGCTTTTCTCCCGATGCCGTGCAGCTCAGAACATAGGTGAAGTGCGTTTTTTCATGCCCAGTTGTTTTCAGCGTGACGGATGATTCGCCTTTCCTGTTGACAGTCCGAGTGAGAGGCAGGTCAAACGTCAGAGGAACCTCATCCATATTTATGATGTCGTGCGGGCCAAGGGAATGTTCTGCTATCTTTGCATCAGTGAATTTGTGGAAGTTTGAAACTTTTTCCTCGTAGTCGGGAGGGAGCTGCTGACACAGACTTGTCCGTACACTGATGGACAGGCCTTTACGTCTCATAAATCTGAGACACCACGATGGTCCACCTCTAAAATCCTCACACTTCATTGCGGTGGCGATTGTTTTGGCTTTCAGTCGGATCTGCACAGTTGAAACACCTCGGCCGTCTGCTCTCTGTGTGTTGACCCAGTCTTCGAGGTCATTTTCTAGTTCGGGCCATCTGCTTTTCTTCCCTCTGAAAGCTTTAGTTGTCTTTTTGCACTGAGTCAATTCCTCACGCTGCTTTTTCCAACGTCTTATCATCGACTCATTAAGACCAAGCTCCCGTACAGCAGCTCTATTTCCTTTTCCAAAAGCCAGATCAATCGCCTTCAACTTGAAAGCTGCATCATATGCATTTCTCTGTGTCTTTGCCATGATGAGGGTGACAAGATGACTACCGTGATCAGAATTATGGGAAGTTTGAGCGCACTCGATTTAATCTAAACAGTAAACAAAAAAGTTGTTTGACCTTAACCCGTGGCAATTTCATTGGTCTAATGAAAGCTTCATGCCGCCAAAAAACTGAGCACGGCACAGAATGTGTTTTTTGAAAGAGGGAAAAATCAGAGCAGGAAAAATCTACATATTAGCCGCGTCATTGTTTAAGCCGCAAGGTTCAAAGAGTGGGAAAAAAGTTGCGGCTTATAGTCCGGAAATTACGGTAAATGTATTTCTCACTATTGTCTGACATTTTATAGACAAAATGAATAATTAATTTAATCAGGTATAATCAGCTGATTAATCAAATATAACGAAAGTCTGCAAAAGTACAGAAATAAAGATTTGTTGCTAATTTCTGGAATAAATCGACAACTTATTTTAACTATTTGTTGATTATCAAAGCAAATAATACACCAGTGATGCTCTGTAGTTGACCTCCTTATTGCCTCTGATATTTTATTTGCTGTTCCTAAATCCCTAAATCTTATAAGACTTATGACACTTATTAGCCTCCTTTTTTTTGTCCTTAGAATCAGGAACTTGGGGTCAGAGGTCAGCCTGATTGAAGACCTGATGGACCCTTGTGTTCAACATGGAGAGCATGGCATCATGTTCACCACACTCAAGGTAGCACACTCACATATATACTCAATACATGACACAAGCACATACGGCAACACTTTATTTTACAGTTCCCAGAAGGGAACTAATATAAAACTGTAGACTCTGGCATTTGGTGTTAATTGTAGGGAAATGGTATAATCAGCATATATTGAGAATAATAAATTATTATTAAATAAATATTTACTTTCATCAGTTTTAGGGGTGTGATGAGATCTCACGAGAATAAATTTTGGCAATATTTCTCTTCAGGTAAAAAGCTATCTCGCACAAATGGCATTTTTCACATGTTGTCAAGCCACACAATTTTCTCTAATCAGATGAACCTGCTCGCGCTGTGAGTCCAGACAGCTGTGCCAAGTTGTAATATAGCTGGTAGAGTTTTGCAACATAAACATCTAAAAACTGAAGCACAGCCTGCTCTGTTTGGGATTGTGAGTTGCTGAGGATGTGTGGATCTGTGGTGAGATTTCTGCCTGATCAAAAGTATTTGCTTTACTTTCGCTTTCACATGCAACATGCAGTCCCAAACTGCGTCAGTCAAACGGTCTGAAGGGGATAACGTTACTATCAGCGAATCAAAAACGAAACGGCAGAGTATCGGGCAGGTAGACTTGTCATTAAATGTATTCAGTGGTAATAGTCTTTTCTCTGGACACAGATATGTGGGAGAGATTGTGAATGTGCAGAAAGTTTTGACCATGAGCAGAAAACACAGGAGTTGTAAGAGTCCAGGAGTTTATAAAAAAAAAAATTAAAACTAAATAATTTATCATTATGGTGAAAAGGTGCCACAGTCACATTTAAAGATATTACTTCCCCATACAAAGACCAAAAGAGGAGGGAAGACTAAATCATGAATCAGCAGAGATGATATTAAATAAGTTGATCTACAGGAGAAACAGATCTGACAGCAGCATGACTGAGAGCTGCACTGACTTATATTCTTTTATAGTTAGGCTATAGATTGTGAATTGCCACCTGCCACCTGAATTTTGTGTTTCTATTTAAAAAAAATAAATAAAAAAATCAACTCACTCTCTCACTTTAAAACCTGCACATAAAATGTCATGCAGATGTAGGATTTTCCCTTTAAACCACTTATGTTCAGCTTTTTTCAAGAAAATTTACCAGGGGGTCCTGTAGCAACTGTTATATTAGTCATCTGAATGCTGTGAAAAAAAAAGGTTGTAATCCAAAAACACGTTTGAACAGAAAGATGTTTCTTTTCTTCTGCTACAACAACATTCAACTCTGGGATTTACAAAAGACAAAATCCCAAAACCTCTGCTCCATGAAGTTAATTTCACTTAAATGAACCTTCATTAAAACCTCATCTTTGCATTCTGAGTGGCGTGGTGTGATAAACCCAAACATCTCTGCTGTCACTGACAGAGTGCATGCATTTTGTCTGACTGCAGTAATGGCGGCATCACGACAGAGCACAATTTGTGCAAATCAGCTAGTGGATATGTCTACACTTTGTACGAAAATGCATTTTGTTTCAGGAAACTTTTTAGGAATTTACAGATACTGTAAAATAAAGCGTTGCCACACACAAGCACAGGTTTTAAAACTAAAAGGGGAATTTAAGGGCTTCATTTGTTTGTCAATCAAACATTTTGAACCAAAAAGCGTTGTCTCTTTCTGTCAGTAAATAATGTACAGTACTGCTTAGCCTGATGAGTGGACGAACATTAATAAAATAAATAAACCCATGTTTACTTTACTGGTCTTCATGTGTTTTATTTCTCCACCTCCAGGCTTGTTACTACCAAATCCAGCATGAGAAGATCACTTAAGAACTGGCGTTACTTCCTCAGTGATCTGCATGCTGCCGTCCCACCTACCATCACAGCCGATCACAGGGCCAGTATCAGAGAGGCTTCAGGCACAGCTCCATCTGCTGCCCACCCACCCACACACACACACACACACACACACACACACACACACACACACACACACTTTAGCCCTTTTAGTGACCTCTACCGGCTGCTTATCCACAGATCATGAAGGTACACATGTGAATATGAATATTGTCAGTGTTCTACTGCCAGAGATGAGCCGCTTCATACTGTTCAGTGTAAAACAGCAGAAAGACCGAATGACTGATGTAGGTGACATTGTTACCTGGATTTTTTTGTGCCAGTGGGAGTGGCACATTCTCTGGCGTTCTTAAGTGACCTGTATCTGACTAGTATCTAGTACTGTGAGATACTAGACCTAATTTTTCTTCCTTCAGAAGAATAAATTTTTCGCAAGACGATCCATCACAGAAAAAACATGTTCCTTTTCAGCCTTAAGTGTTTCAGATCGTTTCACTTCTTTTTATTCACTTCATGAAGAACCTGACATAACGTGGAAATAATCTCCCAAAAGCATGCCGCTTTATAAACTGACTTACTTTTTATTTGGTGTCTTTCTCAGTAGTGTGTTTACAGCTAGCTCAGTTTTCAAATGGTTTCTTTAACCCTGAAACACACCTTCAACAAACGACACAGAGGTGAGATTCAGACTTTATCAGAAGTGTTTTCAAACCAATATTTTCCAGGTTTACAAGAGAAAAAACTTCAAGGATGAACTGGTTGGTTTGGCAAGTGCACGTCTGGTTAAGTTTCCCACCTCCAATAAAGAGCAGCTCACAGCCGCTTCCCTGATTCTTTCCTATGGAAACCACAGGCGCTAGATCTGATGCTGTATTTATACAAAACAAATCCTGTATAGAGTGAATTTGGTAAACTCTAAATGATTATAATATTTTTCTGTTGCACCAGCTGGGAGCAGAATACAGTTAAAGCTAGTACGTGGCTCAATTAGTTGATTCTGCCAGCATCTTTAGCCGCCAACGAGCTACTCCACCTTTAAGAAGTAATGTTGCTGATAGAAGATTAAAATCCAGTGTGACGAACCGTGACACTTTCATCATGACTTGTTTCTGCAGCTCAACACTTAACAGACGTGAATCTATTGAATACATGCAAAACCAGGCTGAGAAAATGTCCCCTTTTGAACACAGAGCAAAAGCTAAGTGCAGTGAAATATATATGTTTTTCCTAGAGAATCGGACAGCTACTTGTTTCTGAGCCCAGTTTTCAGTATTATGAGTATTGACTTGGTGCTGGCAAAATCTGAAAAGGTATGGGCTTAAAATCAGCGTCTTTAACAGTTTTGGACTTGACAAAGAAGTCAAAAGCCGCATCGAAGAATTTGTTTGTATTAATTGTATTGTTGGGGGGAAATCAATCATTGCAGACTAGGAGAGAAGTCAGCACATTTTTCATGAAACTAAACACTATTTGAAGGTCTTAAAATCTGTTAATCTGTAAAACACAGTATGCACAAGGTAAAATGTTGGATTTGTCCTGCTGCAGGTGATGAGTGATGCAGTCGGTTTAATGCAAACACTGTTTTTATAGATGGGATGCTCAAAGCTGATGCGCCATCTGTTAATGCTAACTGTTCTTTTTTAAACCATTTACAGCATTGTCAGATTTGCGTCACACATGGCAGTTTATAAAAGGGCTTAAGAGGGGACTCAGAGGATGATGGAGCCTTTTTTAATATCATGGCTTTTGTTTTCTCAGGTGGTTTAACAATAGAAAAGCCAGCAGATCAGAGGCCTCTTTTTCAAGTGACTAAATTTAGATGAAGCTGCTGTTTTTCCCTGCAGGATTTTAAAAATCTAGCAACAGAAAATGGTTAGTATGTAGATCTGAAATTTAAAGCTGCTGTCGTTAACTTTGGCTGTGATATAAGGTTGAAGTTTGAGGTCACACACTTTCACAAATAAATTTGAAAACAAATGTAATTTAAATTATTCTTTAAACTGTAAAATGTATCTCAACAGATATTATGTAGTAAACATCCCAGTGTATCACCATTTTGAATTGGACTTGTGTGACTTGATTGATGATTGTGATAATGCTTTCCATCCCTGGTTATCCTGGGACGGGATGTGCCTGACATTTAAAAGCACTAAAACAGTATTGTCGTTGTAACTGGGGTGGGGAGTTTTTTCCAAAACGCTGTGGACGCTTAGACAAAACATTCCCCTGGTGTAACATTATTTTGTCAACCAGAGACTTCAGTTGTGTGCGTTTTTTTATTTTTTATTTAACACATCTTTATGTCACTGACAAGACAAGGCTTCCTGTATGTTGTGTAGATGTGATGGTGTTTCAGCTATTATTTTCTCATGTCACTAAGCTCTTAACTCAATCTACTTAAAATGAAAGACAAATATTTTATTATGTCAACAATCCAGCTGACTTGCAAACCTAACTACTAAGGCAGAACGTGACATTTATTGTAATAGTTGTACCACAAATGACATGAAGTGCTATTTTAAATCCAAACTGAATGGTTATAAAGATAAACTGAAGATAATGTGACACCTGTTTAGTTAACTTGCTGTACCTCAACATCGGTTTATCATGGAAATGCCCCACACAAGTCATACTGTTGCATTTTATGCATAATTAACTGTTTTGTCAATGGAATTTTGGTGATTACCAGTTGAAATGTTGTGTTTCAGCTGGTTTACATGACTCCGACCTGTGTGTCTTTTACATGATGTCAAATGTATTGTACCTTTTAAATGATAACAAACGGCAATAAACTCATTTGATGGATGTTGCTAACTAAACTGCTCTGAAATTAACTTTAATACAGTTTTTCTTAAAATGCCAAATTTATTTGGTTTCTGCCTCTCAAATTAGGGCTGGCCATATATGGCCCTATAATTGTCTGGTAAATGTTTGATTTAATTAATTTGAATAGCAAACAAATTAGCACTTAATTTTTCTATTTACATATTTATTTTGTTGAGGAAAAGAGAAAAATATTTTAATAAATTTTACTTGTGCATATTTGTTGTAAAAAGATTTTATAGTTTTGAATGTTCTAAATCAGATATGTTATATATATGATAAGGGATCCACTGTTTGGCAAGTGTTTGGCATGTTCTGACCGTAAAAAGTAGTTTAAAACCATGATTAGCAAATGGTTTATTCAACTTTCCCTCGGGAGCAAAAATCTGTAAATAATGATTTGACATTTATCCTAATATTTATTGGTATTGAATTGATATGAAACTTTTTATCGTGATAACATTTTTGGCCATATCGCCCAGCCCTATCTCAAATGTGAGGATTTGTTGCTTTTCTCTGTTTTAAATGATTGTAAACTGAATATCTTTGGGTTTTGAATTGTTGTTTTGGTCTGTTCAACTTCTGCTGTAATTGATTGTAGACGAAGCACAAAAAGAAACGTATTTTCATTTCTTTGAGGTTCAAGTAAGAGTTATGTTATTGCTTTCATATTGGGAGGAAAGTTCTATACTTGATTGCATGTTTTCCCACTTTAGATGACATTATTGCTGGTGATTGTTAAATATGGAGCCTGACACAAATATGCAGTAAAAGGTTATCAGTCAAGTCTAAAATGTAACTGAATTTGTGTAAAAAAAAAAAAAGCTCAAGCTTTATACTAGTCCTTTAACAGAAAAAAATCCAAACACTAATCAGCATGTTTGATTTGATTTGCATTGATTTACTACCAATATTGTTGATGTATTCAGTTATTTTTTTGACATGTCTAAAAATATTTTACTACATTTTGTCAGTTTTGGGGCTCCATATTTAACAGCCGCGAGAGGTAGTGGCATTTAAAATGAGTACACATGTAAATCAGGTAAAGAAATGTCCTCCAGGTGAGAATTTATCAGAAAATATTCACTTTATCTGTAGTTACATGCAGTTATATAAGCAAACCTGTACATTTGTCAGTGTGTGGCTCCAGTTGTTCACTTTTAATTGGTAGTTTTTGGAGGTCACGAGGAGCTCTTCACATGTCAGATGTGGCAGGTGTTAAACTAAAAAAATCTTCTCAGCGTTGCACTTTCTTGAGGGTTAGAGAGAGAATTAGCCAACAAAACCATTTTTTTTTAATCAAGTGCAGAGATAATCTCAGTGTTTTGGGTACAATAAGGCGTCTTAGGACTTCAGATGGAGGGAGCGGAGATTTTGTTGACTTTCCTGGGGAATTAGATTACAAATCAGGCGATTACCCCATTCCTGACAGATTTTGTTCCTTTGGAAAGGATCCTTTAAAAAAGACTCTCCATTAACACCAGCTGTTGAGGCGGATCTTTAAAATACTGACTAAAGGCTTTTTAAACCTTTATAACTCCTGCTCTCTATTTTATTTTCCTACCAATAAAATTACACATCCCCCAACCATCCCTGAACTGAATTTTGAAACGGAGTACAAAATTTTGAAGAAAGTGATCTTTAAACCTGTCTCTTGTCTTTTGAAGTGACACCTAAATTTGCTCCTTATTTGTCTTTGTCAGTTGCCTCGTCTTCCAACAGCTCCTCCTGCGAGCTGCTAAAAGCTGAAAGAGTTAAGAAGATTTGGCAGCTGCAACCAGCCAGCCGGTGAGGGAGGAACTGGCTTCCGGTGGCCAGAGGCAGGCGGCTCACTTGCCCGGGATTAAGTGGGATCGGGAGAGATTACAGCCCTTTCGCTCTCGCTCTCTCTCTCTCGTTCCCCATTGCTCTATGAAAGTGTAGTGCTCCGTCAAGTCACCGGGGAATATTTTCCCATCATATCTACATTTTCCTGCACCCGTGTTGGTGCTAAAACCTACAGGAGGTGTAAGATAAAGGCTTGTGGCATCTCAAAGGACTGACAGGTGAGATGCATTCAGTTGTTTTTTTAAAGAGGGAAGGGCTTGGAGGAAGGCCACGGGGAACATCCTCTTCCTCTACTTTAACTGCAGAAACCTCTTGAGGAGCTTTTCTTGTTTTATTTTTTTACATTTACATTTATTCATTTAGCTGACGCTTTTATCCAAAGCGACTTACAATTGCTATACATGTCAGAGGTCGCACGCCTCTGGAGCAACTACGGGTTAAGTGTCTTGCTCAGGGACACATTGATGGATGTCTCACAGTGGGAATTGAACCCAGGTCTCCTACACCAAAGGCAAGCTTCTTATCTATGTGCCATCACCACCCATCATTTTTACAAAATTATTTATTTATTTTTTTGCTTGATCCAGCATAGAGGCAGTAAAACCTGCCTTAGTTAATGAACCTGTTTATTCTCCATTTTGGTCTGCCACAGTGTCCTTAATATCAGTTTGACCTGATGTAGGTTAAAATACCATCACAGCAGAATTATTTCCTAAAAATAGCAGATGTTTTTGTTGAGTTGGTGTTTGCTTACTCCTGATAGGTCACCAGTCAGAGATTACGGTCTGGACATCTATATATTCCCCGTTTCTCTTACGAGCTGCCGTGAAGTTTGCCATTAACCCCTGACCCCTTTCACACTAACCATTCATGGAGTTGTGACTGCACCTCCCTACCTGATCCCACTGCATGCTCACGGCTGGATTACCAACCAGGCAAAGTGGGCAACTGATGCCACAGAAGGGGCCCCAAATTCTCAATTGATTTTCATAATTTGATTAATTGCAGATCTTGTTTTAACTAGTCTTGTAGAGGTTCCCTGTTTACAAATGTAGGACTTTTATCTTATTTTATGTTGTCCTAACAAGATGCATATTATATATTGTTGAATAAGGTTTCATTTAATGTAACACAGATAGCCTGGGGTATTTACCTAGTGTGGGCCATAGGTGATGTTGGTGTCCACCATCCAATGTCCATTTTTTTCCCTGGTGCCCCCTAAGAGGTAAAAATGTTTGATTTAATTAGAAAATCTTTTTATGTCAATAACAAGAGCACAGGAGAACAAGGACCGCGAAAGCCACATCACAAACATGATACTGGATATTATGGACATCAGGTCTTTATGCAGCTCTACATAATTAGCAATTAATTACCCATGATTGACAAAGCAGACAACAAAAAGAGGGTGAATGAGTTCTTAAGGAGTGAGTATGAGTGGAAAACCAACAGCCATGATGTAGTGATTTCAAGATATAGAAAAGAGAAGAAAACGGTTAGAAACACCTCAGCAAAGCAACAAAGATGTAACAAAGAAATTCCGCAATATATTACTACATTAATTCAGGTGGTATAGAATATATGATAATGTAGATTGATGATGATTTCAGCCAGCTGAAACAGAAAAGGTCATTGTTATACAGTGCAACTTGATGACTTGTGTGGGGCGTCTGTCAGCTAAGTAATTAATCTTGTTTATATACATTGTTTTCAATTGATCTCATACATTGTATTTGAAATATAATGTCTATTAAAAATGTATCAGCTGAGGTTTAAGGATTTTGTTATTTTCTAAATATTTGTTTGCACTAACAAAGGTTTTTTTCCAGTCCCTGAAAGCAGTCAGTGTGTGGTTGGGGTCAAAGGTCGGGGGTCCAGTAACCATGAGGCAGGCGGTGGAGGCTCAGGTGTTAAACCCCCACTGTGAGCTAGGAGAACACGGTCAGTAGGGGAAACTGACTTAATTTGTTGTTTCATTACTTTAATATACTACTTCCTGTTTACACTCTTAGTAATCCATTGCTGTGTGTTTGTGTGTTTCAGGCCTGCGTCAGATCCTTACAGATGTGATTGAGGAGGTGAGGCAGTCAGTAAATCACGACATCGATGGAGCAGAGATCCTCCACAGTCTGCTGAACGCCTCCTGGCTGCAGTCGCTGCTCAAGGTCTGAAAACCCTCATAAACAAAATGTATTTTATTCTTTAATGTGGGTACATGCAAAATAGTAACATAAGTAATCATTTTAACATTAACTCTGCACCAAAGTCCCTTGTGATTAAGTTCTCTTTCTGTTTACCGTATACTGTATTTTTTACCACCAAAATGCACAGGAACAGGACATAGAGTTTAATTCTTAGCAAGGCACTCCTCTTCTATATGGCGCACCACTCACTTGTACAGGTCCGTGTAGTTCATCGTACTCACATTTCCAAAACAAAATTAGCTTAAATCAATCCTGAGGGGAATCCAATCCAAAGTACCCTGTCTTACTCCTTCATGTGTCCTGGTCATGCCCGTCCTTCCAGACCTTTTTTAAAAAATCTTCCAATTCCGCCCAGTCTATTATTTAGTTTTAGTGATTATTCTATCATTTATATCTGTTGTTCTATGTATTTTTTATTTTATTATTATTTTATTGTTCAACATTCATACTTACTAACTAAACCTTGCAATGAAAAGAAACATGTTTTCACCACAGCTGTAATGGAAGATTGTGGGAAATGTGAGAGTTCATGGAAGATTTTCTCCCAAAAAACTTTATTTGACTGAAAAATAAGTTTAGGTGTGGGTTTAGGAGAGCTAAAATCCAGTGTGAGGGCACTTTCCTTCACTGAATCTGCTATGGACTAAATATAGGATGGGATGTGCACACAACTATCTCTCTAAATGTAGGAAATCTTTTCAAGACATCTGGGCTCACAAAAGAGGGAAACTGGTTTGATAATATAGCCTCACATAGATTTGTACTTCCAAAATTCTTCTCTCACTGAAAAATACCGGAAGTGCTTTTGTCAAGTTTTAGTCATTTGTCAACACTGTTTTCAGGTTTATGAGTGTCTTCAAAGGTACCTGAGGGATTCCCCAGCACCAGCTCTGGACTACTCTTCAGGACTAACACTTCAGGTTACACTCAGATGTGTTTTTAATAATCATTTGCTCGCATTCATCTTGCAGAAGTACTTTTTAAACTGGTAATTTCTTGTCTGTGTAGTTGCTGATCGACATCAGATCATTGCCGGGCTGTTCTGAAGAGGCCAAAGAGCTCTACCGCCTCCTGAGACAGCCACACCTGCAGGTAAGAAACCACGTCTTTTTTGTTGTTTGGCCTGATAAAAGTTCAAAGTGATGTCTCATTAATCCAGTATTAACCCTATTTAGTCAATCTATCGGTGGATTTACTGAGCATGTCTTATTTATAGCAACCTAACTTGATTTCTGTATCATGTACAGACAAGCCGAAAAAGACAATTGAAAGTGTTGCTATGGGGCTTTCACTTATCTCTCTCATTATCCCTAAAGTGTGTATTATTAATGTTTTCAGTCATTTACATTGACCTTAAATGAAAAATGCACAAAAACAAGTTGGAGAAAAATCACATTACATGTTAACAGAATATATAATAGTATAATTAATGACATTTTTTCTGCTGTATTTATGTGTATAAATAGTAAGCAATATTTTTTACAAACTTGAACTGTTATATAATAGTATTTTGAATGATTATCACTAAAGATTTGTAATTTTTATATGGGCCTATGTCATTTTTCTTGGAATTTTGGGCTCTTGGCAGCTTTGTAGTTTAATTAAATTAAATTGACAAAATGGTAAGTTAGACTTATAACTTGGTTTGTGCTAGAAAAAAAGGATAACATGTAAGACAGTTTGCTAAACAGGTGCTAAACAAAGATAAAATAAATGCAAATGAAAGTCAGCAGTAATTTCCTAAATAAACCTGGACTTCTTGCCACCAGCGCAGCAGTTTTCACCCAAAGAAACGTTCGATCTTCATGTTTTGTGTAGGCTCTTTTCTCAGCTCATGATACGGTGGCCCAGAAAGACTATGAGCCCATACTGCCACCAATGCCAGATGACCTGCCAGATGATGAGGAGGCCACCAGGATTGTCTGCCTGGTCAAGAACAAACAGCCTCTGGTGAGTAACACAGCTAAATTCTCCTCATTACTCATTACAAATTTAAGAATTGTTAAAATATAGAAACTGTAAATGAATTATGGTTCAACAGTTACCATACCTGAGGCCTGAGTTGACTCCCAACACATTCAGACTCAGTATTAAGGCACTACCTGGCCTGAAGATGAGGTCACATTTTGATGGGATCACCATCCTTGTTATGTATGAAAGTCATTTTTAATCCCTCTTTACAAAAACAGGTTTTCTGGGATCAGGGAGACCCATCAGACAAACCTCTCTGAGCACAAACATGGCTTCAGACCGTGAAGTCACGCTCGAAAGAAAGTTAATCGTTCTGTTGACTGTCCCTTTTTCAATCAAGAATATTTTCACAAAACATACTGATGTCCCTATCCTTCTACGGCAGAGGTTCTCAACCTTTTTTGCCCCCCTATCCATTATCCAGCCCCCATCCAAAAAAGATTTTGGCTATTTGCCCTGAATATTGTTGTTTTTTTTTATTGTTGTTGTTACTATTGTTATTAAAACATGGGAAAAACACATAATTGAATGACAAACAACATATTAATTACTTGCCCAGGTAACAAAAAAAGCCATGTGAAAAGTAATTATATTTAATGAACAAGTGAATATTCCTCCCAGAAACTGTGTGTGAAGCCACAGACTGTTTTCTTGGATAGGGCACATAATAAGTGGGGGGTCAGGGGGTCCTCCCACAGAAGATTTTGAGCATTAAACACTTCATTTCCTGCATTCTGGTAAAAATTTCTGCTCCAATTTCTGCCTTTTTTGCTCCAATTTATGGTGAAAATGTCTTATTATATAAAGGAAAACACAAAATTAAGGTTACAATTCAAAATATATAATTATAATAGATTATAATGTAGTGAGGCTCTCAGGCATTTTTTATTGCTTTTAAATATCAACTTATTTAATATCATCCCTGCTGAGTCAACACACGTGATTAAGTACCTCCTCTTTTGTGGGGAAGTAACCCATTTAAATATGTTTGTGGCCCCTTTTCATCTCAGTGATAAATTAATGTGTTTTAATTCAGTTATTGACTTGACTTTATTAGCTCATCTGTTAATAACTTATCATAACTCAGTGTTTCCCACAGAATGACAGAATGAGTGTAACTGTGGTGCACATGTACAGCATGCTAGCCTCAAAAACCCAGCTGTATTCTAACATTAATTTAGCTCTCCTTGATAGCTAGGCTCCTTACATGCTTGCTAATAACTTTTTTTAAGCTGGGTCTCCCACATTGACAGCTTGTGTTGGACTGATTTGTGCAGCTGTGTTCTTGAGGGAGAGGGAGAGAGAGCGAGGGACGGGTGAGCGAGAGAGAGAGGGACGAGCGACAGGATGTGCTGCGCGAATACCTGCAGCTCTGCAATCTACTACGATTTTAAATAGGCCTAGTAAAAAAAATCATAAATCAGTGTGGCGGTCAGCGTTATAAATAAATGAAATCTGCTCATGTTCAAAACTTTATGCACATTCAGAATTTCTCCCACCTATGTGTGTTCTCTGACATGTAAAGAAAAAAAAGCTGTAATATTAGGTGACTAACGTCATTAGCCTATTTAAAGAGAATTCATAATATTTTACTACATGCTCTATACTGCATTATGTTACTCATTCGCTGGAAGTTTCCCCACGACCGTCTAAAAGGCACAGAACTGGATGAGACGAGGAGGCACAGTGTTGATGTGTAACACAGAGTTTACACAGTAAACGCCATGTGGGTAAAATATTACAGATGATACTCCCGTTCCCTTGAAGGCAGCACGGAGCTGCACCACGAGTAGCTGTCGGAGAAAAAATACACCGTCTCGTCCAGTCGCAGTGGACTAAACTGGCAAGTTTTAATGTTGCAGACCACAGTTTTTTTGCAAGTAGTTTAAAGTTTAAACTGGTATTGTTGTGAATCTTTAGTGTAAACTCGCCTAAGAATTTCCAACTAACAAACGCCCCCCAAAAGCAGAAACCACCCTTTCCAAAATATTGCTTCCAGCGCCCCCCATCGCCAAACACTATTCTACAGCCATATCAACATCCATCCCTCGTCAACCGCTTATCCTACGTACAGGGAGAGAACCACAGAGACATGGGGAGAACATGCAAACTCCACACATAAAGGCCGGGGCAACCGGGGTTTGAACCCGCAACCTTCTTGCTGTGAGGCGACAGTGCAGCTAACCACTGATATGTAAGAAAACATATTTTGTGATATGTAAGAAAACATATTTTGTGATTTGAATGAATTGACCCTGTAAACTGCCCATAATATCTAGAAAAAGTAAAATATTTAGTTTTAATTATGTTTTTAAAGTATTTCAATTAACCGTCACATTTTCTTTTCAAAGTTTCTTTGTCTGTAAACCAGGTATACACTTATCTTACTAATCCAGTATATAAACTGGACCACAATAGAATTGCTATTCCAATACTGTGGAAACAGATGATCATTTTTTGCCAAATATAAATCAAAAGGCTGACTGCATCCAACAGAGACCAGATGTTTGAATTTTATAATCTCTCATTTGAATAATTGTATATACAGATAATTTCCCAAACAGCAGAAACAGCTGAAAAAGAAGGATTTTTAAGAAAAACAATACAGTTTGGAGACATCACTCATTTATTGTCAATCTCTGCAGAATACCTATATGCAAGTCTCATGTTTATATGTCTTATCGGTCTTTGGGTTACTGCTCTTAAGTTCTGATATGATTGTGAGAATGATAAGAGAGATTGCTTATCAATGAAGCAGATATTCAACCTTTTCAACCTTGTGTTTTTTTACCATCTCAATCTCTAGTGCCTGTATTGAACATTTTCCTCTACCTTTGAGTGACTCTGTTGTCTCACAGCTCCACCAAAGAGTTGGGCTGCCCAGTGTATCCTCCCCACGTGCAAAAAGCTCCAAAGGGGGGATCCGAAGTCACTGGGACACCCTGAGGCGTCTGACCAGGCAGAAGCTTCATCGAGATGGTTCTTTTAGGGTCCAGAGCCCTGCTGCTGGGAGCCTGGATGTCAAGTATTTGTCATGGTGTAGCATTCGGAGAGGCAGCTACCCGCCAACTGAACCGCCATGTCATGCAGAAGCAGCTCAGCACTACCATCCATCCCACTATAAGCCAGTGAATACTTGTCAGATATGCTGTAGCACGCCAGTGAGCCAGTGTAGAATTTGTTACACCAACCTGCTCTGGGAGAAAAGTCTGAACCACTCTGCGCCTTCGGTCTACAGCTCTGTTCTGATCGGTAAGGAAATATCTGTTGGTTTTCATCATCCATCATTGCGCCCTCTAATTCCATCATTCATCACAGCTACTCATAAATTTTCCTGGATTAACAATGTCTATTCTTTCGTTGGAGACAACGTCATTGAAGAGCTAGACAGCGGAGATGAGAATGAAGCAGGAGAGTCCACCAACGCCCCATCCCTGCTTCCCACAGCCCGGCGGTGGACTATGTCTCCCCCGTGTCTCACCGTACCCTGCTACTCCAACGTAGATGACTACCTCCAGCCAGGACTGCATCCCAGGCTTCGTGGCCAAAGCCCTCGCATCCGCACTGCTCCCCCGAGCCCAATGCGCCCTCACCATGTGGATTTGCCCACGGTGCCCCCTGTGGAGCTCGCCAAGCAGGAGAGTCTGGACGAGTTGAGGACAACAGTGCAGCTGGCCGCCACCTCCATGGAGAACAGCACCAAAGACATCAAGCTCCTTGGGGAAAAGATGGCAGCTGCATCTGAACGCATGTCGGACACGGTGCAGGACAACTCCCAGGCCTTGGTCCTCCTCAGCCAGGTAGTGGACCGGCTACAGACACTCCTCGCTGCCACAAGGACTGACATCAACATCCCAAAACCTGCAGTTGCTGAGCAAGATGGCACACCCAAGAAAAGCCAAACTCCAAAGAGCCTGAGGCAATGTCCATCGCTGACACACCAATTCAGATATTCCTTCCCTACGCTTCCTTCCTTCACCTCGTCCTCTAGCTCCCTCAGCAGCTCCCTGGACGCTCCCTCCACCTCTCAGGGGACAAGCTGTCTGTCTGTATCTTGCCATGGGTCACCCCGAACTACCCTGAAAACCAAGAATGCCCCTGTGCTGCAGAAGAAGCACCTTCACGCTGAACACCTTCAGACCAATGGCCTGCTTGAAGAGCCCAAGACCTCCCACACTGTGAAAAGAGGTCGATCAAACGAGCGGAAGAAGAGGAGGAAGAAGGCTACATGATCGATGCAGAAAAGTGTCCAAAGATTGGACTTCTTGGGTCCTTTCAAGCAGTCTCCGCAGAGTGGCTGATCTGTAAACATGCGGAATGGTAGTTGACATTGTTTCATATTTTTGTCACATTTCTCAACGTTTTCTTCCATTGTGTTGGACCATTTCATTCTTTCATATTTCCACTCCTGCTTTCTTCTCACCAGTGGTGTCTAATGTCTGGAGCCCTCTTTTCAGGAACTTCATCAGTATTCCTTTGGAGCTCTGGCTGACATTCATTTGTGTCATTGTTATTTTTTTTTGTGCCTAAGCTGTCATGAATAAAACCTTCCATTCTTATTGTAATGTTGTCCAATAAAAAAGCAATTGCGATATAATCAACTATACTACACTCCTCTTCCATTCCACCTCCAAGTATTGACATCTGCCATGGCTTCCCACAAACCTCTTCAGTTTTGTTTGCATTTGCGTGATTCCATTTGAACTACACATGCTGCTTCTCTCTCCACATTACAGCAGGTGGATTTATTCTGTGTTTTCATCTTTTCTGTTCTAGGGAGCGACTATCAAGAGAAACGAGATCACAGGGGAGATTTTTGTTGCTCGGGTGATTCATGGAGGGCTGGCTGATCGAAGTGGTGAGCCTTTTCACTCAAGCATAATGTTTTGAATTTTCTGTAGATCCTAGTTTTGTCTTGTTAACTAGAAGTTGAAATCTTTTATTTATGATACGTTGGTGTCATGACACGGTAACAGTTGAGAGGGTACGACCCTTTTTAAAACTGGACTTTCATTGTGTTTACAACAAAATAATCCAAGTTGAAATGAAAAACTTACTACTTTCAAAGCTTCAGTGAGTCCATTCACTGAATTCAGTGAATGGACTCACTCATCAAGTCTGTTTCCCCCTTGGTATGATTCTGTTGGGCAGATCTGAACACAGCAGTCATGCTCAGGAGACCCTTTCAAGTGATCTCAGTCCATTCACAAATTTATTCTGGAGCAGTTTGTTTGTGATAGTAATGTGGAACAGCCTTCATCTGACCCAACTACAAGGTGTAATGTAAGTTTGAGCTAAACTGCCAGGTGCGCTTTTCATACTGGTTGCAAAGTCTATGAGAAAATCACCCTCCTTCTCAGCTGATTTATTACCTCAGTAAACACTTTCCTAATGCATTTATGGTCTCAGTTGCTAGTTTCAAGTCATCTTTAATACAGCATGATGTATATTTAGGAAATTAAACCCTCTCGTCCAAATATAGTCATTTCTTGTTCCAAAAAATCAAGATGGCGATCGCCAATATGCCAAACTTCAAAACCGTAGTCTACAAACCAATGGGTGATATCACGGTGGCTACGTCCACTTATTTGATATGGTCTATGCCCCAGCCCCAGACACATCTAACCATTGACTGGTGTAAACATTCTCACGTGGTTTTTAGTGATGCATGTTGGTTGGCTTGAATGTTTGTGTAAAAAGAAACCAAGTGGAAAATGCATCAACTTTACTAACTCATCAGCTGATTTGGACCAGAGTAAGCTGTTAAACTATAGGTTTGAAATTGCCCTATGCTGTGGAACTACACTTCATCACATGGTGAAATTGTCCTTGCTGGTCACATATTGACACCTGAGCCAGATCCATTCACTGAAGAAGACTATGAGATGTGGCTGAAATCCCTGAAAGCTACTAAGTGGACCTTTGAGATTGTATTAAAGAATGAACTTCTATGCGCAAATTGTATCGTGTGTTGATTATGCAATTTAAAAAAATCTTATTTATGCTCTAACCTAATTTTTATTATATAAGGCAAAAGCTTTGCAAAGAGAAATACAGTCATCTAAATAGTTACATGGCTGTACATGGCTTTGATTAGCCTTCTTCAAACACTTTAAAATGACTCTCCCTGACTGAAAGAATCGCTTTAAAGTTAATTGTTTTCCACAAAATGTAAAGTTGATAGCTTCTTTCTATTTGTATGTATGTTTGTGTATAGGTCTGCTTCATGCAGGGGACAGGATCATAGAGGTGAATGGTTTTCCTGTGGATGGGCTGGAACCTGAGCAAGTTATACAAGTTGTGGTAGGTCATTGGTTTGGTCCTGCTTGTTGTATGTTTTGGCCCTACCAAATAAACAGTCGGTGTCAAATTGTATGACAAATTCTTCAAGCTCCAAAATTTTTTTGATTATGATATGGTGTCATGCCAGCTTTTAGCATGGCTATAAACTATATACAGGTGCTGGTCATATAATTAGAATATCATCAAAAAGTTGATTTATTTCAGTAATTTCATTCAAAAAGTGAAACTTGTATAATGTATACATTCATTCCAAACAGACTGATATATTTCAAGTGTTCATTCCTTTTAATTTTGATAATTATAAGTGACAACTAATGAAAAACCCAAAATCAGTATCTCATAAAATTTGAATATTGTGAAAAGGTTCAATATTGAAGACACCTGTGCCACACTCTAATCAGCTAATTAACTCAAAACACCTGCAGTCTAGTTCTGTAGGCTACACAATCATGGGGAAGACCGCTGACTTGACAGCTGTCCAAAAGACGACCATTGACACCTTGCACAAGGAGGGCAAGACACAAAAGGTCATTGCTAAAGAGGCTGGCTGTTCAAGCACATTAATAGAGAGGCGAAGGGACGGAAAAGATGTGGTAGAAAAAAGTGTACAAGCAATAGGGATAACCGCACCCTGGAGAGGATTGTGAAACAAAACCCATTCAAAAATGTGGGGGAGATTCACAAAGAGTGGACTGCAGCTGGAGTCAGTGCTTCAAGAACCACCACGCACAGACGTATGCAAGACATGGGTTTCAGCTGTCGCATTCCTTGTGTCAAGCCACTCTTGAACAAGACACAGCGTCAGAAGCGTCTCGCCTGAGCTAAAGACAAAAAGGACTGGACTGCTGCTGAGTGGTCCAAAGTTATGTTCTCTGATGAAAGTAAATTTTGCATTTCCTTTGGAAATCAAGGTCCCAGAGTCTGGAGGAAGAGAGGAGAGGGACAGAATCCACGTTGCTTGAAGTCCAGTGTAAAGTTTCCACAGTCAGTGATGGTTTGGGGTGGCATGTCATCTGCTGGTGTTGGTCCAGTGTGTTTTCTGAGGTCCAAGGTCAACGCAGCCATCTACCAGGAAGTTTTAGAGCACTTCATGCTTCCTGCTGTTGACCAACTTTATGGAGATGCAGATTTCATTTTCCAACAGGACTTGGCACCTGCACACAGTGCCAAAGCTACCAGTACCTGGTTTAAGGACCATGGTATCCCTGTTCTTAATTGACCGGCAAACTCGCCTGACCTTAACCCTATAGAAAATCTATGGGGTATTGTGAAGAGGAAGATGCGATACGCCAGACCCAACAATGCAGAAGAGCTGAAGGCCACTATCAGAGCAACCTGGGCTCTCGTAACACCTGAGCAGTGCCACAGACTGATCGACTCCATGCCACGCCGCATTGCTGCTGTAATTCAGGCAAAAGGAGCCCCAACTAAGTACTGAGTGCTGTACATGCTCATACTTTTCATGTTCATACTTTTCAGTTGGTCAACATTTCTAAAAATCCTTTCTTTTTATTGGTCTTAAGTAATATTCTAATTTTCAGAGATACTGAATTTGGGATTTTCATTAGTTGTCAGTTTTAATCATCACAATTAACTGAAATAAACATTTGAAATATATCAGTCTGTGTGGAATGAATGTATACATTATACAAGTTTCACTTTTTGAATGGAATTACTGAAATAAATCAACTTTTTGATGATATTCTAATCATATGACCAGCACCTGTATTTTGTTCTCTTTACATTTCTTCATTTAGCTGATGCTTTTATCCAAAGCGACTTACAATTGCTAAGTATGTCAGAAGTCGCACGTCTCTGGCGCAAATAGGGGTTAAAGAGGTGGTATTATGCTCATTTTCAGGTTCAAAATCTTATTTTCTGGTTGTACCAGAAGAGGTTTCATGGTTTAATAAAAACAACCCACCATATTCTTGTCATACTGCACATTGCTGCAGCTCCTCTTTTCACCCTGTGTTGAACGCTTCGTTTTAGCTATGGAGCGATACATCTTGTCTCTAAATGATCTTTGTTGGGAGTTGCACATGCGCAGTTCCTAGTTAGGGATTACTAGCCAATCAGAAGCAGAAAAGGTCAGGTCAGCGAGAAGCCTGTAAACAGCTTTGATTCAGCTGTAGGCTACATGTTGCTGAGCAGCTTGATAACATGGACTAGAGTAAGAGTTTCAGAATGGTGAGTTATTAATCTGTAAAAAAGTATTTTTTATCCATAAAGTTTTAACTGAGCTCTGTCCCTACATCACAATAACAACTTTCTGTCCATTGACTGCCTGGAGGGTAGCTAGTGTTTGGAAGGGAGATGAGAGGTGTGTGCTGCAGCTCAGTGTTTTTCCACCGGTGTACTATGGTATACCATGGTATGTACTATAGTTTACCATGGTAAACTTTCTTATGGGGTGGGGCGTGTCGGAGTAGCCGCTTGGCGAGTGTTATATGACGCGCATTTTGTTTTCATCCCTGTGTCGTCATCCCTGTGTCGTCACAGTGATGAAACGGAACGGCTGGACTACAAACAAGCTGTTTTCAAGCATTTCAGAGCAGTGCTTTCTGTGGGAGATGGGAACTCCCCTTGGGCTGGACTTTGGGCTTTTTCACTTTGCAAACCTATTACATGGACAAAAAAGGTACATAACTCAATAAAGAAGAGGGAAAAGGCCAAAAAGCATAATACCACCTCTTTAAAGTCAAAGCAGATTCATGTTTTACAGTGCTCTGAATCCATTTTTTGATATTATAATAGTCTAGGAGTCTTTAATATCTGCTAATCCATGTTGTTTCTTTACAACCAATCAGCAAGCGAAGTCACACGGCACCGTCATGTTTAAGGTCGTTCCCATCACAGAAAGGCCAGTCCACAACCAGACGATGGTAAATCATCATCTATACCTTATTCGTTTCCCTCTTTTACACATTAAAACTATGTATCGTCATAATTAACGGACTGTTGTGTGGCGTTAGCTCTATGTGCGGGCCATGGGCGACTACAGCCCTCAACAGGACCCGACCATCCCCTGCGCTGATGCAGGTATGAGCTTCAGAAAAGGTGAAGTCCTTGAGATTGTGGACCAGACGGACACTCTCTGGTGGCAGGCCAAGAAACTGCCCAGCCACACTGCCTGCGCCGGCCTCATCCCCTCCACCAACCTGCTGAAACGGTCAGGAGAGTTTAGGGGTTTTGTTTATAGAAGACAAGAGTGTTCTTATGATTACAATAACCTGAAAGCAGAAACATTTGATTTAACATTTTACATAGATTTCTGTAGGTTTAGAATTACATCGGCTGACGTTAAAAAAACATAGTGAATGGTTTGCTGATTAAGGAAAAACTACAACTTTGACAGATACCAAAGGAAATTTTTGCAGCTGTGGTGCAAATGCATTCTGGTCTTTTGATTGAATTTTGATTCTGATCTGATCAAAGAAAAAGTGAACTCTTAAGCACTACTCATAACTTAAAAGTGCATTTAAGTAAGCCAAAGAACTTAAATCTGATCACAAGATGTGTTGATGCCAAACAGTCACTGGTTCCAGATTCTTAAATGTAAGTGTTTGCTGATTTGATCTGTTTTATATTAAAATTGATTTTATTTGGGTTTCTGACTTTTTAACAGACAAAATGAGACATTTGATGATGCCACCTCAGGCTCTGGGAATTTCTGATTCATGTTTTCTGACCTTTTATAAACTAATAGACTAGTTCAACAGCAGGATTATGACTTGAAAGCTGATGTGAAGTATTTATAAAGTCATATTCAGTATGTTGTGTGTCATGTCGCATTATTTAAACCTGAAACTTCTACAGGAAGGAGAGGGACTTCTGGTGGTCCCAGCCTTATCAGCCACATGCCGGCATACAGACCTGTAAGTTCCAAATTTTATTGAACTTATCTCTGACTTTATATATAAAAGTACAAACAGTTTCAGAATTGACAATCTCTTTACAACCTGAATTCACAATACAGTTTTCATTGTGTTTTACCCCATGCTTACTGAAGTGAGCACTGTAGAGGAAGGTAAGGAGAGATTACATTTCACATTTAGGCAAAACCAAACACCAGGGTTGTAGTTAAATGAATTAATTTAGCTTTAGAACTAAATGATTTGTATGTTCTAGCACAGATATAACTTTAATGTATTTCACATTTTTCACCCACAGAGGAAGACCTGATTGCCATCGATGAGAAATGTGTTGAAGCAGGTAAATCTTCACCTGTTGCTATTTACTTTACTGTGTATTATATATGAATTGCTGTTTAATTTCAAGTTTGTGTTTTTGTTTCTGTCAGATGAGGAGACATTTGAATCTGGTAGGTAAGTCTTTGTTGATTTAACCTGTTTTAATTCCGTGTGTTACTCCGGCAAAGGGTTACTCTGTCCTCTCTTGTCCTTTATCTAAAACATTTGTTGTTGTTTCTTTTCCAAACTCTCCTGCTGTCTGACGGGGGAAATGTCAGAGGAGCTCAGAGAAGGTGAGAATACCGTGAGAAAACCTCAGGGTTAGTCTTTTTACCTGCCGAGGAGAGTAAACTCACAAATTCACAGAAGTGCTTTAAAAGTACGGAGGACCAAACATGACCAATTAAGGGGGAGAGAAAAGAAAGAAAATATAAATAAAACTTCACAGATTTTACAAACTGGGTCATGTAGCCAGTGTTTCAAACTTAAGCATTGCATTATGGGAATGGAAGCATCCAGACTGTTCTCAAATTTTGAAATTGCCATATTTTGAACTTCTGCATGTGGAAAAGATAAAACAGGTCAAATACAAATTATACAAGAACATGTGTGTGTTATACGGAACAAGATTGTGATTGTGTATCTAGTCCTGTGTGTTACTAATATTAGTCTTTCTAATGGATTAGTTGCTCAGTTCATTCAACTTGAAGTGGCGATGAGATCTTAAAAAGGTATTAATTTCAAAATTCATACCATCCTGTAACTATTTGGAAGTTCAATTCAGGGTTGGTTTTTTATTCAGTTCAATTCAATTTTATTTATATAGCGCCAAAACACAACAACATTTATCTCACAGCGCTTTTCATAATAGAGCAGGTCTAGACCGTACTCTATGATGTTATTTACAGAAGCCCAACAATTCCCACCAAGGAAAAACTTCGTTTTATGAGGCAGAAACCACGAGCAGAACCATGGCTCAGGGTAGGCGGCCATCTGCCTCGACCGGTTGGGGGGGAAGGAGAGAGAGAGAGAGTGGGGGGGAAGGGGAGAGAGAGAGAGAGAGAGAGTGGGGGGGAAGGGGAGAGAGAGAGAGAGAGAGAGAGCAGGAGAGCAACAGAGAGAGAGGGGAGGGAGGCAGCCTACACAATATACACACAGAGGTACAGACAGTAAAGGTGATGTTGCTATAGACTAAATGAAAAATGGTATAGATATGTATAGTAGTGTTAATGATAACAATCGTAATATTAATGATTATAATAACAATAATTACAATAGGACTAGTAACAATAGTTGTTGTAGCAGAGGGTGTCGAGCAGGAACATGGGGGCAGCAGGTGACCCGCAGCCACAGATCCAGACTCCACAGCTCCAGAGCCAGAAACACCTGCAGGAAGTGATAGGAGGAGAGAGGAGAGGGACGAGAAAGCACAAGACTACCGGAAAGGGGAGAAGTTGTGTTAGTAACATGCAATAATGGGATGAGGTTGCATACAGAGGGAGAGGAGGTAGAGGAGAGAGGAGCTCAGTGCATCATAGGAAATCCCCCGGCAGTCTAGGCCTATAGCAGCATAACTAAGGGAAGGTTCAGGACTAACCTGAGCCAGCCCTAACTATAAGCTTTATCAAAGAGGAAAGTCTTAAGCCTACTCTTAAATGTGGAGAGGGTGTCTGCCTCCTGAACCCAAACTGGAACCTGGTTCCACAGGAGAGGAGCTTGATAGCTGAACGCTCTGGCTCCCATTCTACTTTTGGAGACTCTAGGAAACACAAGTAACCCTGCATTCTGGGAGCGCAGTGCTCTGGTGGGGTAGTAAGGTACTATGAGCTCTTTAAGATAAGATGGTGCCTGACCATTAAGAGCTTTGTAGGTGAGAAGAATGATTTTAAATTCTATTCTGGATTTTACTGGGAGCCAATGCAGAGAAGCTAAGACAGGAGAAATATGATCTCTTTTCCTGGTCAGAACATGTGCTGCAGCATTCTGGATCAGCTGAAGAGTCTTAATGGACTTTTTCGAGCAGCCTGATAATAAGGAATTGCAGTAATCCAGCCTAGAAGTAACAAATGCATGGACTAGTTTTTGTCCTGATCAAAACTCCCAAGATTTCTCACAGTGGTGCTGGAGGCCAGGGCGATGCCATCAAGGGAAACTATATCTTTAGAGGTGCTTGGGCCCCAGAACAATAACTTCAGTTTTATCTGAGTTTAACATTAGAAAATTACAGGTCATCCAGGTTTTAACATCCTGAAGGCACATTTGAAGTTTAGCTAACTGATGAGTTTCATCTGGCTTGATCGATAGTCATAACTGAGTATCATCTGCATAACAATGAAAGTTTATGGAATATTTCTTGATAATATTGCCTAAAGGAAGCATATATAAAGTGAAGAGGATTGCTCCGTGGACAGATCCTTGAGGAACTCCATGACTAACTTTGGCGTGCATGGAGGACTCATCGTTAACATGTACAAACTGAAATCGATCTGATAAATAGGACTTAAACGAGCCTAGAGCTGTTCCTTTAATGCCAATGAAATGTCTCTGCAATAGGATCTGATGGTCAATGGTATCAAATGCAGCACTAAGCTCTAACAAAACCAGTACAGAGACAAGTCCTTTGTCTGATGCAATAAGGAGGTTGTTAGTAATTTTCACCAGTGCTGTCTCTGTGCTATGATGAGCTCTAAAACCTGACTGAAAATCCTCAAATAAACTATTGCTCTGTAGAAAGTCACACAGCTGTTTAGCAACTGCTTTCTCCAGGATCTTAGAGAGAAATGGAAGGTTAGATATAGGTCTATAGTTAGCTAAAACATCCGGATCAAGTTTGGGCTTTTTCAGAAGAGGTTTAATTACAGCTACTTTAAAGTACTGTGGTACATAGCCTGTTGATAGAGATAGATTGATCATATCTAGTATAGAAGTGCTGACTAAGGGTAAAACATCTTTAAGCAACCTAGTCGGGATGGGGTCTAAAAGGCAGGTTGATGGTTTAGATGAAGAAATTATTGAAGTTAGTTGGTAAAGATTGAGAGAAGCAAAACCGTCTAAACACATATCTGGTTCTACAGCTGTTTCTAAGGTTCCTGAGTTTAGAGATAAGTCGGTGCCAGTTAAGGGCAGGTCTTGGTGAATTTTTGTTTCTAATAGTACTAATAGAATTTTATCATTAAAGAAGCTCATGAAGTCGTAACTACTGAGAGCTATGGGAACACTTGGCTCAATATAGCTGTGACTCTCTGTCAGCCTGGCTGCAATGCTGAAAAGAAACCTGGGGTTGTTCCTATTTTCCTCTATTAATGACGAGTAGTACGCTGCTCTGGCATTACGGAGGGCCTTCCTATAAGTTTTAAGACTATCTTGCCAAATTAAACGAGAATTTTCCAGTTTGGTGGAATGCCAATTCCTCTCAAGTTTCCGTGATATTTGCTTTAATTTGCGAGTTTCAGTATTATACCATGGAGCTAACCGTCTATGTTTTATTATTTTCTTTTTTAGAGGGGCTACAGAGTCGAGTGTCATTCGCAGCGAGCCTGCAGCACTATCAACAAGATGATCGATTTGGGAGGGACTGGAATTAGCATAGGAGTCCTCTGTTACTTTGTGACTTGATAATGAATTTAGAGCTGATGGAATCACATCCTTAAATTTAGCTACAGCACTATCAGACAGACATCTTGTATAGAAATTTTTGCCCAATGGTGTGTAGTTCAGCAATACAAACTCAAAAGTTATCAAACAGTGGTCAGATAAAGAGGGATTCTGTGGGAACACTATTAAATGTTCAATTTCAATACCATATACCAAAACAAGGTCGTGGGTGTGGTTAAAACAGTGAGTCGGTTCATGAACACTCTGAGAGAAGCCAATGGAATCTAACAGAGAGATAAACGCAGTACTAAAGCTGTCATTCTCAACGTCCACATGAATATTAAAATCCCCTACAATAACAACTTTGTCCGTTTTAAGGACTAAAGTTGACAAAAACTCTGCAAATTCAGATAAGAATTCAGAGTACGGGCCAGGTGCTCGGTACACTATAACGAAAAGAATTGGTTGCAGTGATTTCCAACTTGGGTGCGAAAGACTAAGAACAAGGCTTTCAAATGAGTTATAGTTTAGTTTAGGTTTAGAGCTGATTAGTAGGCTAGAGTCGAAGATTGCTGCAACTCCACCTCCTCGGCCTGTGCCTCGAGGAATGTGAGTATTAATATGACTGGGAGGGGTGGATTCATTTAGGCTAACGTATTCTCCATCACCCAGCCCAGGTTTCAGTAAGACAAAAATAAATCATTATCATAATCTGATATTAGTTCATTTACTAGTACACCTTTAGGAGAGAGAGATCTGATGTTTAAGAGTCCACATTTAACTCTCCTATTCGTTTGCACTATTGCTCTTGTGGTTTTAATTTTTATGAGGTTTTTATGCACAGCTCCTCTTCTGTTTACCTTTGATTTAAATAATTTCGATGGTCGGGGGGCAGACACCGTCACTATGGGATTTTCACTAAGTAACTCCTGAAATGGAGGAGCAGAGAAGTGTGTTAGACTGCGAATCTTCATAGGGTTTTGGGTGGGTAACTGCTGAATTAGAAGGGCAGAGAAGTGTGTTAGACTGCGACTCTGCCTCCTGGTCTTAACTCTGGGTTGTCATGGATTTGGTCCGCTAATAAACTTGGCCAGATTTCTAGAAATGAGAGCTGCTCCTTCCCAAGTGGGATGGCATCAGACCAGGTCTTCCCCAGAAAGTCTGCCAATGATCTACAAAGCCCACATCGTTTGCTGGACACCACCTCGACAACCAGTGGTGGAATGACAACATGCGGCTATACATATGCGCTAACTTCACGTTTCTCAAAATGGAGCTGCCAATGATCAGAGTTGGTTTCTCAGCGGGTGTGTCGCTAAGTGGGGAAAATCTGTTATAAACGTGTACAGGTTGATGGTGCCCCGTGGACTTTGAACGCTTACGACTATTCCTCCTTCGGACAGTCACCCAGCCACCCCTTCCTGGCTGCACAGGAGATGCCGGGGGACGGCTACCACAGGCTAACTCAGGCCGTTCCGCACCGACTACCGGGGACTGGCTAGCTACAGTAGCTAAAGACTGATCTACCAAGGTGCGGAGCCGGACTTCTAAATCACTGAGCCTCGCCTCCATGTCTAAAAATAAACTACACTTGTTACACGTACCATTACCGCTAAAGGAGGCAGAGGAGTAACTGAACATCTGACACACCGAGCAGGAGAAAGTAGGAGAGAGAGAGGGAGAAGGAGAAGCCATCGCTAGCTGCTGAGCTAAAGTCGCTAACGGCTAAGCTAAAGTACTGTAGCGTCAGCTACCAAAACTTTTGAACAACTATGAGATTGAACAGCGGTCACTAAAAGATGGAAAGAGTGCTTAGGCAAAATTACTGTAAGAACAAGTGTTTAGCGGACAGTTGGCCGCTGTAATCTAACAAATGTAACTGATATTTAGCGAGAGCAACACAACACGGTACCAACAAACAAGCACCGGAAACGGAAATGAGTCGACACGCTTACCGCAGTACGTCAGCAATGTCTCACAACATCAGGATGAAAATATATTTTTCTTTAAGAAGATTTAATTTTCCCTCAGCAAACATTGGCCAAGATTTAGTCTTCCAACCAGACCGACACATGGGCTGGGCGGATCTTATACACATTTATGTTTTTGGCCTGTATGTCTTCTAATAAATAATTGCATTACAGAAACATACTGTATGTTTAAGAGTACAACCGTTTCACCAAGTACTGATAATTCATAATTCTTTAATAACCCAATTTATGGGATCTTCATTAAAATGTAGGCTTATATTATGTGTAATGTCAAAATGAAAATATATATGTATATATGCGTGTATATGTATAGTATATGTTGTTAGACTTTTAGACTTGTTAGACATGCTATCGTTGTTGGCATCAGTCTGAAGGGCTTTAGAACTAGTAATGCCACATTACTGATGTAGTGAAGTCAAAAATATTGTGATACTGGATTTTGAACATGTCTCCCAGCTTAGTAAATACTTCTCTTAAATATAATGAAAGATTACAACTAGACATTGCCAAAGAAAAAAAAAAGTTGCAGAAAATCTAATCAAAAACAACACAGAAGGTTAATGACAAATAGATTAGTTATGTCATGAGGTATTAACATTATATGAAGACAAAAATACAAAAAACTTTATATTAGATCTTACATGATTCATCCGTTGATCCTTTTCTGGTTCCAGCCTCCCAGTTGCTTACATGACAGGTAACTAAGTATCTGTATTTGAGATAGTAATCAGCAGAACCATTTGCATCCACGTGTGTCACTCTTTTTCTCTTCATGTCAAACCAGAGGAGGATGACTTCAGCAGCAAAACCGAAGGGATCTACTTAGGTAAGTCTTCAAACAGACTGACTGTCCCCTGCACTTGATATCTGCACATTAAAATTCATTGTTATGTTCAGTACACAGGTTTTTATGTATCATCATCATCAAGGAGTACCATTCACTTTGACTTTCTCTCAGTGGGCTTCAGGCGCAGCATGCGTCTGTGTCGGCGGCGGTCTCACAGCACCATCCAGCCGTCCTGCCACACCTGCTGCCCCAGCAGCTGCTTCAACGCCCTCAACAGCCCCTACGAGGAGGTGGTGCGCTACCAGCGCCACCCACAGGACGTTTACCGCCTCATCGCCCTCTTAGGTGCAGTAAAGCGTCTAGCTGGAATAATGCCACATTACATTATAGCATCCAGCCAGCTTTTTAGTTTAACTCACAAAACATGACTTGTATTTCTTACCAAAGGTGTATATATATAAAATAAATTAATTAATCGCACAGCAAATTTAAAAATGAAATGTGGGTTTGGTCGGTGTGATTAAATGTAGGCTTATGATAAAGTTTAAGATGTTTTCCTCAGGTCCGTCTGGTGTGGGCGTAAATGAACTTCGAAGGCGCTTGATTGAAATTAACCCCAACATCTTCCAGGGGGCTATACCTCGTATGTACCAATCAATTATAATGGAATCAATGAAATGACCAAAATGTTTGTTACGACTCATAAAAACCCTAAAAAACACACAAAAGTATTTTGTTTGCTGTTAAATGATTATCTGTTTCAAAGAGAAACAATAGACTGTATATAATATTCATTATTTAAAAAAGAGATTGAAGGGTTTCCTTTTCCCTTCACCAGATACCACCAGAGCACCCAAAGGATACGAGGAGTCTGGCAGAGAATATTACTTCACCAGGCGAGAAATCTTTGACAACATGGTGTACAACAATAGGTGCAACAGTCTCTTCTCTGATGCCATGAATAATGAATGAATGTAGTGGAGACAAAGTCTAAATATAACATTTATTGTATTTCAAAATTCCAATATGCTCTTTTACTAAATTAACGAGCATCTTTCTGATTATTTCTGTCTGCTACACAATCGGCCTTTTACACCTACTGAAATTATAAAAAGACAATCCTGTGTGCTTGATAAACATCAGGTTTCTGGAGTACGGGGAGCACAATGGGAATCTGTACGGCACCAGCATCGAGTCTGTGAAGGACGTTTTAAACAGCAGAAAGATCTGCGTCATCGACATCGAGCCAAACGTAAGTACAACATCGAATTAAAGCTGCAAGCAGCTTTGGGCAGGCCCTCGCACTTGGAGCGCGTCCGGGTGTGAGCAGCTCGTTGATGTGTGCAAGCAGAGTAGGCCTAGAGCTCTCCTGTCTGACTGGTCCACCAATAGGAGAGAAGATGACCCCTTGAGACACAGCACCTCCTCATTTGCATAATGAGGCAGAAATGCATACAGAAATTTAAAAAGGACAGGCAGAAATAAATACCATGGGTGAAAATAAATACAAAGGAAGAATAAAACAGACAAAAATATTAAACACACACATTAAATACATTTAAAAAATTAGTAATTAATAAAGTTGAAGATTATAACGGAGTATAAATAAATAAGGTAATTATAACAAAGGTGAATAAGTAAAGGCACTAATTAAAATACATACATTTATGTCTCCTTTATATAATTTAATTACTACCTACATTTATTTATTTACTATATTTTTTTGTGTATTTAATTGGATGCTTATTTATTTATTGAGCATTTATGTATTTCTGTATTTATTTCTGACTGTGTCAGGATCGGTCCTCCATAGCGGGGTGGGAGAGTTATCAAGCACGTAAAGTTTGGTTCAGATGTGAGCATGTACACTGAAGTTACAACAACTTCCTGTGTCATGGCGAAGACTTGATCTTTGACGCCACGCCACGGACACGCCCATTGACGAAAACTCGCAAATAGCACAACTTTTCATCTTCAATGCCTTTAGAAGGCACAGCAGAAATTTGAAGTCGGTCGGACTAAATCCCTAGGAGGAGTTCGTTAAAGTACGAAGTGTGTAAATCATTCAAAATTTGACGTAAAATTCAAAATGGCCGACTTCCTGTTGGTTTTAGGGCATCACTCCAAGAGGCTTTTTTGTGCGTCTGGACAAAACACACGTACCACAGAAAATTCGTGCACGTAGGTGAAACGTGCGGCGGGGGCTGCTTCGTTAAAAGTCACTTCCTGTTGCCAGCAGGTGGCGCTATGACTGTGGGTGAATGTCGGCATGTCCATGTGTTCAGGGCTGGACTCTCATCCTACATGTACACTTTGGTCCAGATGTGAGCATATACACTGAAGTTACGACAACTTCCTGTGTCATGGCGAAGACTTGATCTATTTGACGCCACGCCACGGACACGCCCATTGACGAAAACTCGCAAATAGCACAACTTTTCATCTTCAATGCCTTTAGAAGGCACAGCAGAAATTTGAAGTCGGTCGGACTAAATCCCTAGGAGGAGTTCGTTAAAGTACGAAGTGTGACATTCACCCACTGTTGAATTTTACGGCCATTTTTGGATGATTTACACACTTCGTACTTTAACGAACTCCTCCTAGGGATTTAGTCGGATCGACCTCAAATTTCTGCTGTGCCTTCTAAAGGCATTGAAGATGAAAAGTTGTGCTATTTGCAAGTTTTCGTCAATGGGCGTGTCCGTGGCGTGGCGTCAAAGATCAACTCTTCGCCATGACACGGAAGTTGTCGTATCTTCAGTGTACATGCTCACATCTGGACCAAACTGTACATGTAGGATGAGAGTCCCGCCCTGAACACATGTACATGCTGACATTCACCCACAGTAATAGCGCCACCTGCTGGCAACAGGAAGTGACTTTTAACGAAGCAGCCCCCGCCGCACGTTTCACCTACGTGCACGGATTTTCTGTGGTACGTGTATCTTGTCCAGACGCACAAAAAGTCTCTTGGAGCATAGCCTAAACCCAACAGGAAGTCAGCCATTTTGAATTTTACGTCAAATTTTGGATGATTACACACTTCGTACGTTAACGAACTCCTCCTAGGGATTTAGTCCGACCGACCTCAAATTTCTGCTGTGCCTTCTAAAGGCATTGAAGATGAAAAGTTGTGCTATTTGCAAGTTTTCGTCAATGGGCGTGTCCGTGGCGTCGATGATTCGCAATGAAACAGAAAGTTGTAACTTCAGTGTACATGCTCACATCTGGACCAAACAGTACATCTAGGATGAGAGTCCCGCCCTGAACACATGTACATGCCGACATTCACCCACAGTCATAGCGCCACCTGCTGGCAATAGAAAGTGACCTTTAACGAAGCAGCCCCCGCCGCATGTTTCACCTACGTGCACGAATTTTCTGTGGTACGTGTATCTTGTCCAGACGCACAAAAAAGTCTCTTGGAGCGATGCCCTAAAACCAACAGGAAGTCGGCCATTTTGAATTTTACATCAAATTTTGGATGATTTACACACTTCGTACTTTAACGAACTCCTCCTAGGGATTTATTCCGACCGACCTCAAATTTCTGCTGTGCCTTCTAAAGGGATTGAAGATGAAAAGTTGTGCTATTTGCGAGTTTTCGTCAATGGGTGTGTCCGTGGCGTGGCGTCAGAGATCAAGTCTTCGCCATGACACAGGAAGTTGTTGTAACTTACGTGTACATGCTCACATCTGAACCAAACTTTACGTGCTTGATAACTCAAGGGGTCATCTTCTCTGCTATTGGTGGACCAGTCAGACAGGAGAGCTCTTACTCTGCCTGCAGACATCAACGATCTTGCCCCTCACACAGTCAGATGGCTTCCTTCAGTGCGCTGAGGTGTTTAACAACTCTGAAGACAATACTACCAGCAATGTCTTCCTTCTCTTTTCATGTAGACGCTCCGACAGACAGTGCTTTCAGTTTGTTGCATGCATGGACACAGAACTGCGGTATAGAGAGAAGCACACGGTCAGCTGGCTGCAGCTAAATCTGGAGTGCACTCGTATTCAATTCTGTATGGTAAATTCAGTTTTAACGGAGCAGAGCGAGCTGACAGGCAGAGTTAGAGACTTTTTCTGTCCGTTCTCTCTTTACAAAGACGCATGTTGCAGTCAGAGTCTTCTCTGAGATGCGAGCACGACATACAACACAATTTATCAAATTACACATCGGATATACAGTATGAAAATAAGACTGATTGGATTATACTCACAGGAAGTATAAAACCTGTTACATGCGTCTATTAAAAGTAAAGTAACACAAAAATGTCAGGGAAATTACTTTACTTAGATTTCAGGACTGCAGTTGTACATTTGAAATACCTTCCTACCTTTCTGATAGGAAGCCTTCTTGAGGTGGTATAAAACATTTCTTCATATATTCTGATTTGAGTTGTGGACAACTATGACCACATGAATTAAAAAATTAAACATTTCACTGCCCAAGTCAGCTATAACACAAGTCTTGTTCATTAGACTACATGCTGTACAGTATTTGTGGACAGATTTTGTCCCAGGATTTATTATGCATTTCTTCTTCTTCGTTGCATGGTTTAGAATAATAAGGTGAGAAATGGGTCTGTTCTGAGTTCATCCTGCACTGCAGCAGCTAATAAAGTCCATTTATCCCAAAAACGCTTTTCTTTTAGGCAGGCTGGAGCAGAAAACAACTCACCTTTCTCAAGTTGTACAGTAATGTCACATGTGTATGAAGGTGGATCAAACAAGCTAATCTTAAATGTCAAGTGGAGAGGAGCCTAGTAGGCCTATTTATTTTCATTCATTACACAATATGAATAAGCTATGCAGACAGTTGTAAAGAAAGAACATCTTTTTCTTCTGTTCTCTACTTGTTATAGTTACACAGTATTAGGGTGTGGGCTGTATTAAAAGTATCCACTGTTCTCCCATGCTCTAACACACAGTAACGATGAAATGTGTGCTGTTCTCACATTCTTCCTCTGTATGTACACATAAACAACAAGGCAGGGAAATATAAAAGGAATTTATTTTATTGTTTGGGTACATTATTGTTCAGTGACATGCTCACATGCTCATCTGAAACAAACTTTACGTGCTTGATAACTCTCCCACCCCGCAGACATCTACACACCAATACCGATTTATATTCATAGCGGCAAGTGCTATGTAGCTCCACATAGGGGACACAGGAAGTGACATATAGCACCTTCATGCGGCGTCGGAACCGCGTAGGAAATTCACAGCCGCACCGGCAGAGCTCCAGAATATGCAACTCGGCCGGCTCACGCACGGACGCGCTACAAGTGCGAGGGCCCGCCCAACGCTGCTTGCAGCTTTAATTCCATATCAGCATGTACATGTGTTCAGGGCGGGACTCTCATCCTACATGTACAGTTTGGTCCAGATGTGAGCATGTACACTGAAGCTACGACAACTTCCTGTCATGGCGAAGAGTTGATCTTTGACGCCACGCCACGGACAGCCCATTGACGAAAACTTGCAAATAGCACAACTTTTCATCTTGAATGCCTTTAGAAGGCACAGCACAAATTTGAGGTCGGTCGGACTAAATCCCTAGGAGGAGTTCGTTAAAGTACGAAGTGTGTAAATCATCCAAAATTTGACATAAAATTCAAAATGGCCACTTCCTGTTGTTTAGCTATGGCTCCAAGAGACTTTTTGTGCGTCTGGACAAGATACACGTACCACAGAAAATTTGTGCACGTAGGTGAAACGTGCGGCGGGGCTGCTTCGTTAAAAGTCACTTTATATTGCCAGCAGGTGGCGCTATGACTGTGGGTGAATGTCGGCATGTACATGTGTTCAGGGCGGGACTCTCATCCTAGATGAACAGTTTGGTCCAGATGTGAGCATGTACACTGAAGTTACGACAACTCCTGTTTCATAGCGAATCCGACGCCACGGACACGCCCATTGACGAAAACTCGCAAATAGCACAACTTTTCATCTTCAATGCCTTTAGAAGGCACAGCAAAATTTGAAGTCGGTCGGACTAAAATCCCTAGGAGGAGTTCGTTAAAGTACGAAGTGTGTAAATCATCCAAAATTTGACGTAAAATTCAAAATGGCCGACTTCCTGTTGGGTTTAGGCTATGGCTCCAAGAGACTTTTTTGTGCGTCTGGACAAGATACACGTACCACAGAAAATTCGTGCACGTAGGTGAAACGTGCGGCGGGGCTGCTTCGTTAAAGGTCACTTTCTGTTGCCAGCAGGTGGCGCTATGACTGTGGGTGAATGTCGGC